TACACAAAATGAGCTCCCTCCCATTGAATTCATCAAGCATTACATCACACAGCATCTCGATTGATGCATTATAATAATTGTTTGACAATACACTTAGAATATGCAATCAACTACATGTGTGACTACATATATTTAAATGTATTATTATATATATCATTTGTTACCTTACTTCGAGGAACACACACATACACACATATATATATATATATATATAATCAATTAACATCGATGTTAAATTAAAAAGTTTGATACCAAATCTCGAACGTTGATTTTCATCAATCTAATAATCATAATTTATTGGTAATTAATTAATAAATGTAACCTAATAAATTATGACTTTTAGATTTACGAAATTAACGGTTAAAATTTGGTGTCTAATTTTTTAGTTTGACATCGATATCAAATTATCTTACCCCTATATATATATATATATATATATATATATATATATATATATATATATATATATAATCATATCTAAATTGTTGTACGTGCAACAATGACAGTTGTGTGATTAAGATTCCCCCACATTAAATGCTTTAACCTATATATATGAAAAATTTATCACGGCTACACGTAAAGCGGCTGCAAATTGCAAAAAAAATCAAAACTATATATATGTGTGTGTGTGTTGGGGGGGGGGGGATAGTTTTTTTACATTGTAGGAAAAGAGTTATCTCATGTCGTAGAAACAAAATTACAAGAGGGATCCACAGGTAAGAGGAGAGGAAAAAAATAGAAGTGAGACTCACCCCTCTTTTGTGTGTGTAAGAAATTTGTTTCTCTTATACAACATAAGAGAAATATATATAGGAAAAATGTGGATCATTTTAAAGAATGTAAAATTATGTAAAAGAAAAAAAATAGATCATGGAGGAGAGAGAGTGGACCAAAAAAAAGATATGCGTCCCATTTCTTTGTGAGAGTGAAATGACAAAGTTGTGTTATTTAAAAGGACAAATATTTTTCATATATATATAGAGAGAGGTAGGATCCTTTGACACCGGTGTCAAATTTCAATTTTGACACCTCACCTGAGAGCCGTTAGATCAAAAAAGATCAACGACTCTGATTTGCAAGCATGTGACACCTTTGATCTTTTTTGATCTAACGACTCTCAGCTGAGGTGTCAAAATTAAATTTGACACCAGTGTCAAAGAATCTACCTCACATATATATATATATATATATATTGGGTTGTACGATAACACACTCAACCCGTACTTCACCTTGCTCCAATCAATAATGTGAAATTCAGTTGTATAGAGTATTAATCTAGCAATTTGTTTAGAAATGCTCGTAGGCAAATAACTAGCCCGCAAAACATATCACAGCACGTCAGCACCAGAGTTTGAAACACTTTTAAATCGAGAATATAGGCATGAACCTTCTAATAGATGAGCACCATGAACTTTTTTTTTTTTGATGAAAGGCACCATGAACCTTTTAATATAGTCATGAACCTTCATGGAAATCATCTAGATTAGCATCAACCTTTTAATATATTTAGCTAGAAACTGATATGAAAGAATGAGCTAGGGGCGGATGACCCTAGAGCCTCCCATGTTGAGTATTTGTGGAGGATTTAACTATTTTAGAGCTGCCTTCTCCAAAAAGTAATTTTTATCTCTTCATTAATTTAGAAGTGTTTTTTACAAAAGTTAAAACTATTTATATTTTTATAAAATTATTTAGTTTTTGAAAAAAAAAAAGTGACTTTTGCTTTTTTTAGAAGTTGAAATTTTTAGCTTATGGAAAAAGTAAATTTTTGGCTTTTTATGTGACTTCTGCTTTTTTTAAAAGCAACATCTAAACGCACTAAAAATAAGAAGTGTTTTTTTTCCAGAAAAAAAAAAAAAAAAACAGTTTTTGAAGAAAAAAAGACCATCCAAACGATTATTCTGACTCTTCTCCCAATGTGTTGCCTTGTTGTATTATTTAGACTTTCTTGACTTGTTATAATATTTCAAAGGAATGAGGTCACTTTTAAGCAGTGTTGTGAAAAGTGGCTCGAATTGGATTAAATCGGAAACCGGTGAATCGGTTAAGCAACCGATTCGGGTCGTTCAGTAGATCGTTTATGCATAAGAACCGAAATGAATCTGCCGGTTTTTTGAAAAAGTCGATGACCCGTGGGTGAAAAAAATAGGTCATTCATAAAGTTTTTCTTAAAAAAATAAAAAACAAAAAACTTTTGCGCTCATGTTGCTATTGTTTACACTTAATGCAGACTATTAATTAAAATGACATTACAATTTATGACTCGGTTAGTTAGGGACTCTTAATTAACAACTTGACTCGACTAACAGAATACTTAACAACCTTGTTGTATTAAAAAAAAAGTATTCAAAAAACACAAACAACCTTGCCACATCATATTCACACAAAGTCCCTTTTATTTCGCACAAAGTCCTTAATGCCCTGCAGGCTATTAATTAAAATGACGTTACAATTTATGACTCGGTTAGTTAGGGACTCTTAATTAACTTGACTCGACTAACAGAATACTTAACAACCTTGTTGTATTAAATAAAAGTATTCAAAAAACACAAACAACCTTGCCACGTCATATTCGCACAAAGTTCCTTTTATTTCCCACAAAGTCCTTAATGCATTGCCCCCAATGAGTGTCTTGCATTTTAGTGCATTAAATCTTAAAATATTTTATGATATGATAATAGGGCTCCATAAGAGTAGAAAATAATATCAACCGAAATTTTTTATCTTATCTTTATATATTGTGTATTAAATAATTAATCTTGTTAAGGGTAGGAAATTATATGAATTTGATGAATTCATAACTCGTTGTGTATTTAAGGTGTACTAAACTATTCCGTACTTGGGGTAAATAATATGATTTTATGATATGAAATAAATAGATAAAAATACTCTTTTGACAAAATTTTATATAATTTATTAAAATTGATTTTGTAACTTATTAATATATTCATTCTTAATTTGAATTATTAAAGAATTTAAAAATACACTTTTAAATAAAATATATTAATAAATTCTTAAATTCTTAATTTAAGAATTTATTGAGATATTTACTATGTCAACGATAGTCAAATTAGAAAGTTATATGGTATACAATGAATTAATAGAATTGATTTTAATAATTTCATGTTATACACATATTTGTATTTTACCATAATTTTAGTCGTTAATTTTTTAATCAATGGGCCTCATATAGTTTTGTCAACTCAACAGCAGATGAGAGGGTATTGGACCTGTTAGCCTGCACATGAGTCAAATGGATTTCTTTAAGTCACTGATAAAACAACTAATCTGTTTTGGAACTTCCAACCTGTCATGATAAGAGAGGTTTTTACATTACTCCCAGATGAATGATTAGTCTTCTACGCCATAGGAGTCGCAGTTGCCGGTACATCCAATCGATGGGTGATTTAGGTCAACATCTCTTGGAATCTTTTCATAAAAGATTCTATCTTTTCAACTCTCTCCTAGAGGTGACAATATGGGTTGAATCCGACGGGTCAACCCGCCAAAATGGGGCGGGTTGTACATTTCAACCCACCTCAACCCACCCCACTTAGTAGTGGGTCAAAATAGATTGGTGGTGGGTCGGGGCGGGTTGGCCTGCGGGTCTGTTTTGTTTTGTTTTTTACTATTGGGTAGTACTTCATTTGTCACTAAACTTTTGTGATATGAATTTTTTTATCTTAATACTCTCCTAGAAAAATATAAAGAAGATAAACTTTATTTATGACAAACGTTATCCATATATGGAGACAAAAATAAGTTCCTAAAAAATATATGAGTAAATATTAATATACATTTAGGTTTGAGATTGAAAAAAAATTAAGAAAATTGTGAAATGAAAATAAGTAATATTAGGAAATTAAGAAAATATAATTTATTTATAATTTATATTTTTTTATTTTTTAGGCGGGTTGACCCGTCAACCCATCACAAAACGGGATCGGTTGGGATTTTCAACCCATATAAAAATGCGGGGTGAGCCAACCCATTTTTGGCGGGATGGCAGCGGGGCGAGACAGGTCGAAGCGGGCCGACCCGTTTTGCCACCTCTACATTCTCTCCTCCATGCATAGTATTTGTGTCTGGCTCTGATACCATACTGTTGCCTATAAATAAATTAAAAAATAGAAAATTGACTTTATTGAAAAAGTGTAACCTCAAATAGAATTATGGATTTATTGAATAAACCTCTTGTACAAGTGCCTTTCGGAAAGTTTAAATAGACAATCAAAACATTAACAAAATAACAATAACCCCTACATTAATTGTTCTGCTACTAATAGTGAAGATTGTATTTGATCCACTTCTCCCACATTCCTAATAATTGGGTCACATAATAAACCTTTATTGACAACAATAATTTAAAATAAATTAATAAAATAGCAAAAATAAAAAAACCGTAACAGAAATATATATACTTAATTTTCTTTTGGCTAATTTGGTAAATCAGTTTGCTTCTTGCCATCTCAACCTTTTTTTTAATGAACGCTATGCCAGATATAAACAACTATACTTGGATCTTTCTTGGGTAAGAGATTACAGGTTAGGTCCACTAGGTGTTTTACCGTAATAGTAAAAATTAAAAAAATAAAAGCAGTGCATATTGGGGCTAACTATCATTCCCCCCCACCCCCCACCAAATAACCCCCACCCTGTTTACAAAAATATAAATAACGTCATGTATTCTAAGTAATTGCTTCACTGCGCACGTCATGTATTTATTATTATTAATTTTATTTTTTTTCATGATTTTTAGGTAACGTCTTTTAACATGGCACTAAATGAAGTCCCTATTAATATGTATGCCATTAGCTTCTTGCATCGTCCAGAAACTCAGATTCCTCAAACTCATACTTGCTCCTGTTTGACGAAACACTTCTTAGACATTGAAGGGTTAGCAGTCTTCTCTTTGAATTTTATTTTTTTATTCCTTGCTTTTGGGTCTGATAAAGATTGTTTGAAGCATGCAGATACATATAGCACCCCTTTACAGCAAGATGGAGAATGAATTTGTTAAGGCATTTTCTGATTCATTCGCTATGAAGGGAGGAGAGGGCCCTCACAGTTATGCCCAAAATTCAAACCCTCAGGTATATCTATATCTTACTCGTACACTTTCTCTAATTTCATTTAATTAGCATACAAAGCTTTAACAATTTTCATTAATTTGGTTGGTAGTTTAAAAGGAAAAATACTTTCATTAATTATGATGAACTGCATATACTTGTATATGGCTTTGTTGGTCAAAGATGTTGTACAAGAGCTGAATTTATGGATATAGTAAACAGAAAAATATTTAGTTAATGAAGATAAGTTATCTGCATTTATTTCTAAAATGATGTCGTTTTGGGATTGAAAGATTAGAAAATTATAATTATAAAGACTATAATAATTTTGAAATAAATTAAAATTACAAAAATACTGAGATTTCCGTTCCAAAACAATATCGTATTAGATTTACTGCAGATAACTTATCTACAGTCTCCAGAAAAAACAAACCTTATAGTAATAGGGAAAAACAACTCTCGTGTTAGCTAGTGGAGAATTATTTTCTTGTGTCCCTTCAATTTTCATATAACAATTATATTATTATTTTAGATGTGGATCCCATCAAAGGATGTGTGTGTAAAATTGTAATATAATATAATTATCTCCTGATGTAAGAGAAAATTGAAACCGTAAAAACATGACATCTTATATAAACAGGGCAGGGAGGGACTAGGGGTGGCCATGCCCCAAATTAAATAAATAAAAAATTATTATTTATTTATTTATCTATAGGAAAGTAAAAGACCTCGGTTCCATGGACATGGAGGAAGGAAAATGCTGAATCAACAATAAAGGGTGCAGAAAGTGGGGCAAAACGACTTGTGCAATGTGGATTTCAAATTTTTTTACCGATTGAAACTTATACTGGTCTATAACAAGTTTCACTGGATCATGTGACATGATTTTTCCTGTACATCTTAAATTTCATTGTATTTTTATTTTTTTATACAACTCTTTTTTTGTATACAAAATTTCATTGTATATTTTTATCTTTACATTTCATTTTATAAATAATAATTATTAGAATTAATATTTCTAAGAGATAATTTTATTTTCTATACACACATAATAGTGTATTGGGTCCATTTTTTTATCTCTCTTTTTCTCACATGAGTCTCACACATTTTTATGTATATGTAAGAGACAATTTTTTCTTTTATAACAAGAGAAATATTAGTCCCATAATTATTATAAATAATTTTTATTTAATCAAAAATATTCTTAAACTAATGGAAGGATTTTGATGCTGTGCAAATTGATCAAACAAGTTAAGTAAGTAACTGTTTGTGAACTCTTATTTTTAATTTGTCTTTTCTTTATAAGTATAAGCTAAGCCAAACATAATTTTATAAATGTTCTTATTTTGAAAAGTGTTTTTTTATACTAAAGAAAAAAGTTAAAAGCTAAAAATTCACGAGAGGAGCTTTTTTAAAAATATATGTCAACTTTTTAGAATTCTCATATTTATTTTTCAATTATGCCCTTATTTTAAATTTTTATTTATGAATTTATCATTTACACTTATAATTTACCCTAATAATAAATTATTTAAAAACCCCAAAGTAACTTTATACAATTATCAATCAAAAAGCTTTTAACTTTATTTTTTAAGTTTATTTTTTTTTTAACTTTAACTTAAGAGTGGTTTTTAGCTTAAAAAAATATCAAAAAGCTCTAAATCAAATTTAGTTTGACTTGAATTCTATGCGCATCAACTTGGCTCTCCACTTGGCTCCAATATATAGCATGATTAATGACCGGATTGAGGTTGAATTATTTTGATATTTAAATAAAATATAAAAATTTAAATATTATGTATGACTAAATTAACATTTATATTCATTTCATAAAAGTAAAAAATATTTTACAATATATATCTAAAAAAATTATACAGTACTGCTACGTAGTTAATACACACTTTTTTATTTTTCTTTCATTTATAATGAATAAAAAAATAAAAATAAAGAATAATCATTATGTTACTTAATACATGAAAGTCTGTCCGTTTCACAATGAGTGAAATATCCAAGCGTAGAATATACATAAAAGTTAGAAAGGGATTATATTTGCAAACTTTACATAAAATAATAACTAAAATATCAAGTAGACGACATGTTTTAAAAGTCAACGGACAACAAGTTAACTATGTTTTATTTATAGAGATATTGTTTGTTATACAATAATATCATTTATCTCATGCAACACACATAAAAATAAAAAATAGATAAAATTCATTAAAAAGATGAGAAAAAAAGAAAATAAGTAAGTTTTTCTTTTTTCTTTTTTGTATTGCATGATATAAATTATCTCATAAAATGAGAAACAATATTCCTTTTTGTTGGGTGGTGTTCCTTCACTGATGATGGAGTGCACCTTATTAAATATGGTGCAGGGCTCAAGGGCCCAACCACCTATTCAGAAAGAAGGTGAAAAGTTCTAGTATCTCTTCATCTTATATAAACTCCTTGAAATAATTTGTAATGGGTTGGATTTTGTTAGAGAATTCTAGTACCTCTAAAAAAAAGTTTGAATGTTAGATCTCTTTGGGAAAGCTTGAATATCGCCGTTGTTTGTGAAGTTTGATTGTACTTTTAGTGAAAGACTAGAAAAGCTTGACTTTTGTAATTTTTCTATTTGACAGAGTGAAAGATTTTCTGAACTAATATCCCATAATTTTTACTTCTGCATATTGAAGGAGATTTTTCACATTAAAATTTGAGTATATTTTTCTTTATCTCTCTCCTCTACACAATTTTATTTTCTGCTATGTGTTGGTGTTGGTCAACCTAGTAACTCCAGACCCATTTTTTGATTGCGGAACTCTTAAATTCGAACTCCGACTTGTAACTTGCTTTCGTGCTATTTGAGGACCGACTTGTCCAGACAATTTTAATTTATACTTAGATCTTTATAACTTAACATAAAGTTTTTGTTTGACTCAGAAAGTATAATTTGTTGAGCTAATAAATTATCGATTTTTGTCAATTTGATATTGGTTGAGTTGATTTATCACTGGTTATAGTCGTATAGACTCTCCTGATTTTATGGGCTGATGGGATCAAAGACAAGATCACTCCATCCACTTTTGGATCGAATGGAATCTTCAAGTGCAGTTTTGTAATTTAAGATAACTAATCAGAGTAGTTAATTCCTCCTTAAATAGTTAAATATATAACCTGTGCCCCTCCACTCCATAATGACGCATTAACAAAGGAGCCGGCAAATATAAAAATATTTCCCATCTCTTTATCATAAAATATTCACTTGTCCAAGTTCTCTCAATTCAAATACTAATTAATTTAAAATATTAATTAATATATTAATATGATTATTAATTATTTTATTAATGATTCTCAATCAACACTAATAAGTAATAACTAATTAATTATTAATGGAAATCATACGTAATAATGTATTAATAATTATTTAATCTTTATAAATTCTTAATAATAAAAAAATAAAAAAATGTTGCTGGGTCCCCTGACTAGCCTTTTGAGATAATAATTTTCACTCAACCTATTCTGCTTGATTTTGGCTAGTTGAAACTTCGGTTAGACAAACAGCCCAAGTTTGACTCATATATTAGGTGGGCCAAATTTAATTTAACGATATATTATATTTAAAATTATAAATTTTTAAATTAAACCAATATTTTTTAAATTACATTGATAATAATTATATTTATACTACCTTTCTTCATATATATATATATATATATAAATAATTAATTCAACTGTTGAGTATGTGATATTATCTTAATGACTATATATACTAAATTTTAAACAATTTGAATATTAATAAGTATATATTTTAATAATATATATTTACTTATATTTAAATAACATATTATATTGTTACCAAAAAAATATTATACGTTAAAATAAAGTTGTATGATAAACAATCAGTTAGTTTTTGAATTGTATGAAATTTTATAAATTTAATAATTTCTTGAAAACTTTTTATCTAACGGTTAGATTAATATAATTTAAAAGTTCATAAAAATAAGTATGTTATCATGTATATGGGAAAAATATTTATCCTTTTAAAAGACAATTATTTTAGTTAAAGTTTTTTTTAATATTTAAATTTAAAAAATTCTCACATTTTTTTCTATTATGATTTATGTTTCTTCCATCATAAAGTACAGTAGTTTTGACTTAAATAACATAATTATTTATTCATCAAAAGGAGAAATACTAATCTCATATATATTGGGTCACGATGATTGTAGGGAGAGAAAAGCTCATGTAAGTAATCTTTAATTGTTAATAAATTAGTTTACCAAAAAAAAAAGAGTTAATAAGTTATAGTTTTTACATCTAACTAGATCAATCACATGTATGGGTGTCTATATAGATCGTGTTACGATTGACAAAGCTCTAGATACAGGCTATATGTAAAGAACAAGAAAATGCAGGTATGGTTCATATACAAAACCACCATTTCAAAACATGGATGGATCATCATCCATTTCCAAGTTCTGTATACCAACTAAACTTGATTTAAATCATTAAATACACAAATTACATAACAATAATTTTGAGTTGTGAATATCTAAAGAAATCTCGATATCTAACACTTGAAATCCATTTCTTAAGTTCTTGTTAAACTTAAAAGTATTTCTATTTTGCAGGTAAACTTACGAAAGCATGTGAAAGTAGATAACACCAGCAGCCATCATTTTAAAATAGAGATGGGGAATGAATCATATGCCATGAAAGGAGGAGAGGGTCCTCACAGCTATGCTCAAAACTCCAACTTTCAAGTATATTAATTGGCTATTATATACGCTGATAACACCTTGCTTCATGTTCATCTTATTCTTCTCTCACCAATAACTTTAAGCATGGATAAAGATGGTGACAAAATGGCATGCACTCATCTGCTTTATTGTCATTTGGCTATGCATCAATTTGCTAAATTGTATACAGTTATAGCTATGTAATGGTTTTTGCAGAAAGATATGATTGAAGTTCGTAAAAAGTTGATCCAGGAGGCGATAGCCAAATGCTTTGATCCCCGAGCCTATGCTGAACACACAAGCTCAATTTGTATAGCAGACATGGGTTGCTCTACAGGACCAAATACATTTCTTGCAATGCAAATTATAATAGATGCAATAGAGCACCAATTCCAATCACATGGTCTTGCTGCTCAAAGTTCAGAACTCCAAGTTTTCTTTAATGACCAAATCACAAATGACTTCAACACGCTCTTCAAAAATCTTCCACCAAATAGGAAGTATTTTGCAGCTGGTGTGCCTGGCTCTTTTCGTGGACGCTTATTTCCAAAGGAAACACTTCATTTGGTCCATTCTTCTTCATCTCTAAACTGGCTCTCTACAGTGCCCAAAGAAATTACAGACAGAACTTCTAATGCATGGAACAAAGGGAGGATTCATTGCACAAATGCTCCCAAGGAGGTTGCAGATGCCTATGCAACCCAGTATAAAATGGACTTGGAAAATTTCCTCCATGCTAGAGAACAAGAACTTGTGGAAAATGGACTAATGATACTTCAAATACCTGTAGCATCAGACGTGATTCTTGATTCAGAAGTAGACCCTAATAGAGTTTTTGAACTTCTGGGATCTTGCCTGGTGGACATGACTAAAGGGGTAAGAAACCTATTGGCTTTTGCTGTCTTAAATAGGTTATGAATGAAACCATTTAATGAATAACTTTTTCTAATTTTCCATGGAATTTTATTTCTTGTTCCCCATTAAGAAATTTGGATTAAATAGGCTTTTGCATTGGAATAAGCATGTATAACCACAAAGATATTCAATGCTTACCAAATCTGAAATTTGGATTATTCTACCTAGTCCTCATAGCTGGCTTTAATGCAGGGACTGATTAGTGAAGAAAAAGTGGACTCTTTCAATGTGCCTTTCTTTTACTCACCTGTTAAGAATGTGAAGGCAATTCTAGAAACAAATGGTAGTTTCAGTATGGAGTGGATGGAAACATTAGATATCAAAGATATTTTTGCAATCCCGAGTGCACAAGTTTTTGTTTCCACGTACAGAGCAGTGCTGGAAGAGTTAATTGAGAAGCATTTTGGTGGAGGAAATATGGATGAGCTTTTTGATCGCTACACTGAGAAAGTTAAGGAATTTCCAGATATCATGAATTCAAAGAAGCTAAAAATAGTCATGTTGTATGCTCTTCTCAAGCGCAAGTCAAAAGCATTGATAGGTACGGCCTAGGGCCTACACGTTCTGGCTTCTCTTCAGCAATAATGTGTTATTCATCAACCAATGAACTTTTATTTCAGTTTTAGAATTTAATAAGTGGAAGAACACTCTTGATATGTCTTGAGAGAACTGTAATATGTTGTTCCTTTAATTTTTACCGCGCCTCTGCAGAATTAGTTCCTCTATATTAGTGTTTCAATAAAGTTTAAGTAGTATTTTATTATTGCTGGGAGTTAACCTTGTAATTAAGATTTTTCTTAGTTGCTAATTAGTTGTCCAATGAAAATGATACATTTATACCATTCTTTTACACCACTAATGTGTAAATAAGTGATGGTAATATATTATATGGCAATGGGAAATGTAAACAAGATTGTTGCAGTATGCTTTTATATTTAAGCTTCTGGTTTTTCACACTGCATCATGTTTGTTAGGACGTCTATCCTATGGAAATTGCCCAAAGTTTTGCATGGGGCCTTAAAGTACAACATTTCCAATTCCACTTGCTTTCTATGCTACATAACAATTTCCCATTGGATTCATCAGGGATTACATCACATGGCATCGATTGATGCATTATAATAATTGTTTGAGGATACACTCAGATCGAGCAATCAATCACGTGTTTGACTATATATATTTGAGGAGAGATATTCTCACTACCAAAATTTTTCACTACCAACTTACTACTTATCTAATCACCATTAGATTAGCATTTTCTCTCTCTTCAAAAACTTTTTAACATTCTCTCTTTTTGATCTAATGGTGATGTGATGGGTAGTAAGCTAGTAGTAAAAAATTTTGATAGTTAGAATACCCTCTCTATATATTTAAGGGTAATCATTTTTTTCTTTTAACGAAGAAATTTTTTCTCCTATTAGTAACTCGTGGTATAAGTGAAATCTACAAAATAGTACAGGAAAAAAAAAAAATTCAAGATGCAACTGACTTATACCATAAGTCATTAATAGGAGAACATAATTGTCTTATGTGAGCTTTGATTTTCTCATGTTACATAAGAATTCAATTCTTATGTTGTAATTGTAACTCAATTAATGGTACACCTCACACTTATTAAAAAAAAAAAAAACTTCGCAATCACAACAAGAGAAAACACTTCTCATGCAACAAGAAATGTTTTTCTTTGTGGTGCATATTCTTTTCTTTTATTTTAAAAAGGGAATTATTATTCTTATGTTGTAGGTGATAGGTATCTTATGTCATAGACTCAATATATGTGGACCCCATTGATTTAAAAGAAAAAAGAAAAAAGGAAAAAGCAAGCACGGATATCGAAGGGTCAGTAGGAAAAATTTTCTATCTTATGCTGCATAAGAGTAACTTAACCCTTTTAAAAATGATGGACTCTACACTAGTTATCTCTTATAGCACGACAGGATCTATAACACTAAACCCGTATATCTTCACTTTGCTCCAATCTTTCACCTTCGCGGAAGACCCACACCTTCACCCGCATATCGATAAGCATAATGTAAAAACTTTATAATGCAAGTTTCTATTTCCTCTCAAAGACTGAGCATTTATACATACAACGTTTTTAAGCTAAACTATTCACAATCCAATGATAATGCAAACCAACAGAATACAAATAAAACAACCCCAAAAAACAGAAGATTCACGCTATGCGAAGGCTTTAAGATAAAGGGCTAGATCTAGCTGTATCTCATTTATTTAAGGGATAGTGACATCAGAAAGAATGACTGGATATGCAGGATGATTGGATGAACACTATTGCTGCTTATAGTAGCCACTTTGGTGAGGCGGAGGATAAGGAGATGGAATGGTATAAGGAGGCCGAGGAACAGAGGCAGGTTGTTGTGCGTGTGCATTGTAGTATGAACCACGCCATCCAGGATATGCAGGTTGGCCATACTCATGGCTTGCAGGTGGCTGCTGATGGACCGGAGGAGGTGGGTATGGAGAAGCTGATGTTGGTGGAATGTGGTATGGTGGTGGAGGCTGATGTGCAGGACCATACGGGGGAGGGGGATGACCATAGGCAGGGACTGGTGGCTGCTCAGCTGGCTGATAATAAGGTGCTTGGGGACGAGAATCTGTTAATGTACTGGATCGTTGATTTTGGTTTCCCACTGAAGGGTAGTTGTTGTTAAAAGCACCTGTGTTTTTGTTATCCTGGAAACTCAGACCGGCCACTTGTCTCTGAACATCTTCAATCATTTCCCTGCACTGGATGTTCCTTGTCATTACAAAGTCATTGCTCTGCTGCTTTACATTTGTGATTGCATCCTATTGAACAACGAAATTGCATATTACTACACAACAAATATTTGCTTTTAACACTATCTTCAAAACACATTCAAATAATACTGGGAATGATAGAAAGTAACAATGATGATAATGTGCTAAGCTTTGGGGAAAAATAATTAATAAATCGGGTAAGTTTTAACGGAAGAGAATTCAAACCAGCCCTAGTTTATAAGTTATTACCTGCAGAGTAACATAGAATTTTAACCCTTCATTGATGTTGTCCTTTATTTCTCGAAACTTTGCTATGGCAGCTTCAATCTGCTTGTAGGATTTTTCACGTGAAGCTGGAATAATAACAAGGAAACCATCAAAAGATCAACTATCACACAGAAGTGTGTGTACTAAAAAAGCGGAGCATTTTGTATAAAATGAACGAGTCATACCAAAAACTGCCACAGAAAATTAAGAACTGAAAATTTATCTTAATTAATGTAACAATTGAGAAAACTTTCTTTTGCTGATTAATCTTGAAATTTTATGTACATTATTAAACATAATCTGAAAACAAACTTAACCTTGTCAAAATAATGATAAAGTATAAAAACCAGATTCAATCATGAGGAAAACAACTAAACGAACAAGAACTACCTTTGTATTCTTCAAGATTGAAGATAACAGAGAAATCATCATTTTGAGCCTGCAAACAATGTCAAACAATTATCAAAATCACATTCTTGAAGTTTCTCATCATCTACCAACTATCAGAAGCCATCACCAAGAAAGAAAGACTGCAACCCGCAATACAACAACAAAGGGATGTCCCCCATGCTTGCTTCTATAGTGATTAATTTGTTAGACATATAATCAGTCACTTTTGCCTTCACAGGCGTGAGCATTAGTTCAAGAAGCATGAAATATAATCATAGGTAGTTTGCATTTGCTGCTAGTAGTTACTTTGGCAGTTTGGCATTGATTAGTGGTAGTCAGCTAGGGTCGCATTCTAAATCAAGAATCTCAAGAGAATAGTCCCACGAGAATAACCACTGTGTGGGAAAAGGTAGTCCAAAAAATGAAAAACAAATCTACTAGATAGTTGGGACATGTTTCTCTTCTTAGACGGGTGCCCAAAAATAGATACCTGGATCTGCAGCAACAATTGCTCTTGTGCCTCAATATTTTGAGCTATTTCTTCACAAATATGGTCATATTTTGCTATCTCCTTCTTGAAAAGATCCTCATAAGAACCGGTGGACGTCATCAATTTGGGTAATATATCATCCTGAAGATGTTTATAGAAATATAAGCCAAGATAACTTGTGTGTTTAATAGTTTCATGAATGGTAATACAACGAAACAAATTCCCATCAATTCTTTGCATCCACAGCATTAGAAACCTTAAAATGAAGAAAACAAAATCCAAACCACTAATTCATCTTGCAGACTTGCACAACAAGTTAACAGAAATGCAAATTACACATAGAAAACTGGCATGGGCTTTTTTTTCTCATTCTTAATTACAGTACAACATTTTTTTACATTACTTGAAGAGAATCTTGTATTCAAATGATAGAACACCTATAACACACAGTATAGGGGAGCCTCACTTTAATCATCTGATATAAAAACTTGAGGTTTTAATTACTTAATATAAGAAGAAAGAAGGAATTTATGAATGATGAATCCTGTAGGTAACAATATATGGTGTGAAAATAGTCTTTAGTCCTCTACCCTTCGGACCTATGATTCAAGTATATGCCAAAATTGGTAATGTAGTTGAGTATCAGTATCATATACATATCTCACACTGAAAAATAGCAGAGTGAGAAAGGTGCTCGGGAGAGGACAGACAACCAGGGACTTAAATTGGAAGTGGTCCTAGGTGGATGAATTTTATTTTATTTTTACATATATAAATATAAATATTTTATTTAATAACATAACCCACATCTTAATTTTTATTTTTATTTTTTAAATTATCATATTTAGGTATGGAATCATATCATATCAAAAGCTTGTACCTGTACCTGTACCATGCAACATAGCTTGGGAGGCATAAGCTCAAAAGTTATTAAAATATTAGAGTGCATGTGGTTTATGGACATGTTTTCTGTTTCCATTTTCTGTTTCAACTAATACTTACAAAAATACCATCTTGTTTTTGTTTTGTTTCCATTTACCCAAACCAAACACACCCTTAAGTTCTCTAACATTCACAACCATTATATGCTTTAATTATATATTAGCCTTCTGTACTAAAGATATATGAACACAATTCCCGTTCTGTTCACAAAGTAAAAGAAATCAATTTTGAATATTAATTACCAGTCAATCCCATGTAGCTATGTAATCCTCAATATCATCACAAAAACAATCCACAAAGAAAATAATGCTTCTGCCCAGAAAGAACTAAACTCCACATAAATGTAAAGTCGGGCTTAATATTAAGTACCTCTCCACATGCATTTACAGTCTGAAATTTTCTATTCCTTTTGCTTGTATTTTAAAATTTAATATTTTTTGCAGCTTTAATCCAAGAATAACGAGGTTATACTGCATAAGTTCACCAATGAATGAACGAAATATATTGATAAAAGTAAAAGCACAGTCAGAAATATACCTAACCATTGCAAGTTTTAAATTTTAAAAGATGGGTTACAACTAACCATAATGAAAGTAACAAGGCAACCATTGATAATAATAACTCTCCTCAGCCTCACATAGCACAGGTTTCAGATATAAGTTATGATGCACGGACACGGACACGACACAACACACAACACGCATGTTTTTTTTTACCGTCACACAAAGAAAAAATGTGCCGACACGTTAATTCTAAAAAATGTCATATTTCGACACGTTGGGACACGTTTTGATATTAAATAAAAATTTTAATATATATAATATAATTTATATTTAATACATATAAGAGTCTATAATAAATCATATAACCAATCAAATATTTAAATTTCATAAGATAAATATAAATATAAATAACTTTTCGTACTTTGTTAATTTTTAATTACAAATTTCATAACAGAAAAAAATTAATTTATAAATTATTTCTTTTATATTTAGTTAACAAAATAAAATTAAGATTTAAAAAAAATTAAAAACAAAAAAAACGTGTCCGAGCGTGTCCCCAAATGTTGACCGCGTGTCCCCAAACGTCGACTGCGTGTCGGAACGTGTCAAAGAGTTGACCGCGTGTCCCCAAATGTTGACCGCGTGTCCGAGCGTGTCGGACACGTGTCCGACACGCAAATTTTAAAAAAATTCGCGTATCCGTGCTTTGAAGGTGCAGAGCAATGCATTACGTTACGATAAAAATGGAAGAAAATTATGAACATCTGGACTAAAATCCCCAGAGGAATCCCTATTTACCCTAAAGAAAACTGTTACAGTTAAGCCAAGTAACAGGTTGGGAGGATGTATTACGGGCTCACTCAAGGTTTATTCACGTAATAAATATAAGGGGCTGGAAAATGATGCTGAGTCAGCATGTAGTCTGTTGGCAGAGAATATTCCCAATAGGAGGCTCAACAGAATTCAGTTAGGCGATTGGAATATGGAGGGAAGAATGGAGGATAAGTAGAGACAGCATGGAAGGGTCTGATCATCCGGAATCTTTGGGCTTGGGATTGGAACTTGGGAGAGACCAATAGCCTCTCCAATTGCTCTGTGTTATCTTTTCATTTCAGTTCATTAATTTTCCTTTTAGTTCTTCAATTTTCCTTTTAGGGGGTGTTTGTTTCAAGTTTTTGAAGAGGATTACCGGTAATCCTTCTTTGGTAAATGTAATTACCACGTTTGGTAGAAGGAATAAATTACGATTCCCGAATATCCAAGGATTACCGGTAATTTGATTTATAAAGAAAAGTCACTATTCAGATTACCAAAAATAATATGGTAATTCGGAATACCAATCAGAATACCAAGCAAAAGGGAAAGCACAACAATAAATTTTGAGACAAAAATACCCTAATACACATAAAAATCTAGACCCAATCTATCAATTACAAAAGTAAAAATAGTTTGAGGTTATTTTTGTAAAATAACCTCATATTCCAAGTCATATTTCGTTCTAAACCAAATATGAAATCAGTAATTTTTATCCAATATTCCCGGTAATATTTTGGCGAACCAAACACCTCTTTCGTAAGATTCCAAGTAAACTCAATTTCTACTGAATTCCCATTAATCATGATTCCCGGTCACCAAAAAATTTCTCCTATACCAAACACACCCTTAGTTCTTCAATTTTCCTGCAACCTGTAGTTTCTTGTAAAGGCTGCTTAGCCTCTATGACTACTGTAACTTCACTGGATTCTTGTTGCACCAGTGCTTGGAAATAGCAATTTCTCTGTTGTTTCTTATTTTCTTAATTCCTTGTGATAAAAATGGAAGAAAATTATAAACATAATGGACTAAAATCCCCCACAGGGGTCAGTGGATAGAATAGTTTAGTACTCTTCTGGGTGTTGCACATGTGTAATCCCTATTTACCCTAAAAAAACACATACTGGATTAAAAACAATGCTTTACCCCGTGTACCTTTCTTTTCATCTCTTTGAGCATGTCCTCAAGACCAGCCCTTTGAGCTCCTAGAGTCTCTAGTTGCCTCTGCATTAGTGAGCACAAAAAATCAATAAAGATCATAAATAAGGAAAATGAAAAAATGTAATCAGTTTTAACATTACAGTCCTGTCAAACAATTAAAAGATGTATCCATTCAATTTCACCTCTCAACTTTGACCATGAATTTTGTAGCATTGATAAGATCATTCAATTAAGAGTGTAGTGAAGAAGAAAACCACAAGCCCGCCCAAATATGTTTTTGCATAATATGTCAACAAAATACATCAAATATTTGTCGATGCAAAAACCACCAAATTCCAGCCATAACATGTTTCAAATACTTGCGCTGAAAGTATGATGATTCTAACCACAAAAACACATTTTGACAACTTAATCAGATCTTCACCGCAACTAGCTTTGAAACATTATACGTCAAGACATACCAAAATAGAATTATCTTTCACCATATCTATATATATATGGAGAAATTAAACGGCATCTTATATCAATAGACAACAGCTATATAAATTATGGACTCAAGAAATGGTTATAGATTTTATTCCTCGGAAATCATAATATAACAATAACAAGACCAAAAACAACAACATACCAAGCTCTGTTTGAGGGACCCCACAATAGCATCTTCATTTTGATCAAGAGACATAATTGGCCTTGCCAAGGTTGGAAGTGCAGATTCAATCTGAGAAAAGACACAGGAGATTCAACGACTTAGCAATGTATTCTGACCACACCAAGTAAGTCATAACAAATACAACAACAATTTACCGGACGGGCATCAAGGATTGACATGAGAGCTGAATGTTCTCTTACTGAACGCTCAATCCTAACATCACTTTCCGCAGCTTGTTTCAAGTTACCTGCAAACCTGTTTAGCCTATCCTGCAAGTTCTTTGTCAAAGTGCTTGACTGAGGCCTAGACCATTTTGTGCCAAATTGACTTCTAAATTGAGAATCTTCTCTTGCTTCCTTCTGCAACAACTCCTCGGTCTGGACCAGCAATTCTTGATTCACCCTCCTTAGGTCCTTAAGTTGCTGCAACTCTGCTTCCAAGCCAGCAGGGCCTCCACTAATCTGCACAGCCTCCACATCTTCTTTGAGATTTGTTGGTAGAGTAAAATTTCCTTCCAAAGCAAGAATAGAATCTGGCAATTCCATTTCCTTAAGCCTAACTCGGGTTAGCTCACTGGCTTGCTGTAACTTTTCAGCCTGTGTTCTTATAATATTGTCTACCATGTCAGTGTACCTAGAGAGGGCCTTGGTACTGCTGTCCGGAACAAGACCTACAAACATCTTCTCTTTACTTGCATCTAGCAAATCATTCATCGCCATTGGCTTCACCATAGAAAATGCCGGAAGAGGTGGTAAGGAACTAGGAGAAGGAACTCTCATGAGGTAAACTCTATCATTCTCCTTGACAGCCCTCTCCAGGTTGCGGTTAATATTGGCCTCTAACTTGTTAATTGCATCTAAAATTTGTGCTGCAGCACCTTTTGAGTTTTTCTTAGCATCAGTAAGGACATTCACAGCACTCCTCAGTCGTGCAATCTCTTCCGCTATATCTTCTTTTTCATGTAGCTCTAATCCATACCTATAACAAGCTTCTGCATAGAATAGAGCTGCCTTTAACTGCACATGAACTATCCAGGATTTATCAAAATGCTGGCTTAAAGGCGCAACATTCAGTGCAGCTGAAGCTTCCTCATAATACAGCCCAACCTATAGAATCTCGAGTGAAGTTAGTTCTTAGGCCAAAAACAAAATGCATGTAAGAAGAAGAAGAACAAATCAGTGATAAAAGTAGTAAAACAATTACCAGCGTTTGAATAAAATAAAATAACGAGTCATATTCACAATTCATTATTAAAGTTAATAAAACAAATTAGTATTTTCCCAGAACTCTGAAAATTTCATAAAAGATAGAATGAATAAGTTATCTTCAACAATCTTCAAAACACAATATGTAATTTTTCCCTACAACATCATATGGAAATCATTAGCAGGATGACCAATTAGAAAATTAAACTCGCGGACCTGCCGAGAGATCTTGGCACAAACACCGGGGGTACTCCCTTTAGCAATGGTGTTCTCAAACACGCACTCCTGAGCCTGAGCCAGCATCAGCTTCTCCAACATGCCGGCGCACTCCACCGATAGATCAATGGTGATGGAACTCCCAATCGAGGCCTTCACGGACGCATTATCCCTCAGGAAAGCAAACGCCCCTGCAGCGGCTATGAAAGCGTGAGAGGCCTGACGGCGGCCATCGACGGTGTTGCGGTCATAGGACAATCCAATCTGGCTGTAAACGGCGCCCAAATTGAAGAGCACGGAAGCCTTCTCGAGATGAATGTTCTGCTGAGAGGCCTTTTGCTTTGGCTTGAAGGCATCGAACCAGACGAAGGTGACGTTGTTGACATGATCGGGGTCAGGTGAGATTGGGAAGCGAGTCTCCACAAGGCATAGGGTTTTGTAGTATTTTTGGAAGAGGTCGCGCCGAGAAGGGAGGGATGGATCGGAGTGCTTCTCTATGTCGGAGCGTTGTTGCTTGAGGATTTCGAGATCCTCTTCGACGTTCCTGGCATCTCCCTCAGAGTAGTGGAAGACCACGTAGTTGCGGAGAGGGCGAAACAGATCCACCGGGTTAGTCTTCTTCTCGAAGATAGCCAGCATGATGTTGGTGGTGGCCGCGGCGGAAGGCGACGGCGACCCGGCCATGATAGAAGATTACAAAATGACCCTGGAGCAGACCAGACGATAACTTCAACGGTTCTGTTTCTCTCTTTGATTTGCTATGCTGCTTAGTGACTAAGTTACGGTGAAATTATGAACGCGCTTTTTAATTTCGTTAGTACCAAATGACAACAATGCCGCCAACGAGGGTTTTTGACGCTTATGACCCTTAATTAATAACTAATTACCAAATTGCTCTTTATTCAAAATTATTTTGAAAATTTACCCTCCCCAACAAATATAACACCAATCTGCTCATGTTTGACCGTTGACCACGAAGCCTACCCGGGTACACTATTACCTACCCGGGTAATTTTTGAAACTTTTTATCTACCCGAGTATGTAGGGGTGTACCCGGGTAGAGTTCTTGAATCTGGGAAAATGGTTGAATTATTTACCCGGGTATGGAGCAGTGTACCCGGGTAAACATCGACGGTAGGGTTTTAAAATACCCCAGCAGCCCCATTTCGAAAACCCACAAAAGGGGTACCCGAGTAGAGCTGCTGGAGGAGTGTCTTCTTGAGCGATTTCAGGCATAATCTTGCACCAATTCGTCTTGTTTCTGATCATCATTCGCGGACCTTGCAACCTCTCTGCCTTCTACCGATTGAAATCGATCAAAGGTGCATTTTTTTTTCAGTTTTTTCAATTATGTTATGATTTCTGTTCTGATTCATTGTATTTTCGTTTATATCATTTGATTCTGTCCGGATTATTTTATCAATTTGTATGTCATACGCTTACCCTAACCCGAACCCTAACCCTGAATCTAACCCTAACCCTAACATGTATCTAATTTCTGATTTTGGTTATTTTTTCAGTTTAATAGTGTGACACAATGACCTCTCGACGCGTTTCAAAGCTGCCAGCGACCCATTCTGAGAGAAGAACCAAGAGTCGTCACGATGGGTCGTCATCCTCTCAGCCCCAGGCTGCTTCGAGTCAGGCTCCGGACTTGACGTTCGGATATTTGTTTGAGGATGACATACCTTCACACGAGAAGTTCGTGAAGTTTTTCATGACCCGGAAGATCTGCGAACCGAAATCACTGGATTCGGCATTCTTCAACCTAGAGCGTTTTGACATTGTGCCGCTTCTTGAGCAGACACATTTACTTCACCTGGCGGAGATGCGATGCCCATACTCGGAGGTTATGGTAAGAGCCTTCTACCAGAACCTTGGCTACTTGCAAGGCGAGCTGACTTCCCGTGTCTGCGGGATTGATATCATCATGACTGCTCCTATCTGGACGGAGCTACTGGGGTTCGATTTTGATGGTGTCACAGGAGCAGCACTATATGATGGAGACAACCATCATATATTTGGTGATTATAACCGGGAGACCATTGTTACAGAGACTAGGAGGGCAGACGTTGAGCCCGGTCATTTTGCTCATTATCCTGTTAGCAACTTGTCAGTTTCTGCTCGCATTCTTCATTATGTGGTGACACATATTATTTTCCAGCGCCCGCATAATCACTCAAAGGTGCTGGAAGGGGACTTTGTCATCCTGTGGGCCCTCCTTCACAGTCAGCAGGTGAACTGGAGGCATTACATATGCATACTGATGTGGAAGGCAGCCAAGTCAAAGAAGGCTGAATTGCCTTTTGCATTTCTGGTGCAGAAGATTCTGCATAGATTTGGAGTGCCTATGGCAACAGAGACCTTGAAGACCGCCAGAGGCTGGAATGCTATATTTGGTGAGAGGCTCCTGAAGCAGTGTGGGATCCTACCGAACAGAGCGGGTATCTGGACGTGGAAGAAGGCACCAGAACCACCTGAGATCCCATTCCACCACGATGCTGAGATGGAGGATGCACCTGCAGGTGATGTGTTGGTCTTTATGAGTTTATGCAATTTTGTGTTGTTTATTTTTTAATGTGGTATTTATAAGATGTGTTTTTCATGGTTTATGATGTAGGCCTTGATGATGATGACGATGATGATGGCGTTGCTGAGGTTGATGTCAGACCGACACGTCCCACCCGCAGTCGGCGACCACCAGCTCCTCCTGATGGTGGATGGACACTTGATCATGTCATGGCATCCATATATGATCTGACTACTGACTTTAGAGGATATAGACAGAGCACGAGCAAGTGGCGGAACCAGATGGACACAAGGGTTGCACGGTTGGACACAAGGGTTTCACGCTTGGAGGGTTTAATTGGCGAGGGTGCCCATACTCAGGAGGAGGAGGAGGAGGATGATGACAATGGGGATGACACACAATCGGATGAAGAGAATGGGGAGGACACGCCATCGGATTAGTGTGTCCATAGGGTTTCATATCATTGATTTAGTTTGATGTAATGTATCAATCCACCCCCAAGTCATATTGTATGTAGGTATTACACAACAATTACCAAAATGCAAAAATATGGCCAAAACAGCTTCTGCAACTGGTCTACTCGGGTACCACGAACTGGTCTATCCGGGTAGGATGTACTCGGGTATATCATTACGAGTTACCCGGGTAGACCAGTTGCAGATGCAGCAGCAGGTGCTGTTCAATCCATTTTTTTTGCATCTTGGTAATTGATGTGTAATACAATAACCTTAACTGACTCGGGGAAGGGGTAAATGGGTATGGTAGACATTCGGATTGCACAATACGGAACGAGTGACTCGCTAAACTTAACGGATACATTTCAACAATACATTTCAACAACACAAGAATACAGTTCAACAATACATTTCAACAACACAATACATAACTAATACAAGATAAAGTTTAGGGTACAAGCAAACAAAACAATACGTAAAGTGATTGTCATTACAAAACAAAGTACTACACAAAAACAATACGTAATCATGCTTGTCTTAGTCTCAATGGACATGTACGAATGTTATGTCCAACTTGCTTGCAATGCTTACATCTGCTCTGACTGCTAGAGGGTTGAGACTCAACCCAATCCATCTCATTCTGAATCCTTGAAGACTTTGGTCTTCCTTTTGCACGTACCAACTGAGCATCCGGAATTACAGTAGGCCCAACAACGGATGGAATCAACAATTCATTGCCAATAGGAAACCAGTGTGCAGCATATACTTTAGCAATGGTTGGAATTTTGAAAACATGATCCACATAATCATAATGGTTTAGCTTGGCTACCTTGCAAACTGCTAATACATGACTGCAGGGATACCTCCTTGCTGTAAACCTACCACACTGACATGTACGATTGATTAAGTCCACTCTCATGGTGTCACCGCCTCGTGTGTAGATTGATTGTAGGCATCCTCAACCTCAAACAATAACAGCTCACTATCATATATCCTCACACGATAAGTGCCGGCCAATTCACCATTTTTTTGCAAAGCTGCATCAACCTTCTTTGAAATTATCCAACCTTGCGAGATATCTTTTTCAATCCCTTCATGTCTCTTGACGAAATACTCAACGAGTCTACTGAATGTCATCTTGACCAATGCAGTTATAGGCAGATTTCGTGCTCCACGAAGCACCTTATTCACACACTCAGATAGGTTAGTTGTCATATGACCAAACCTACGTCCTGTCTCATCATACGACCTGCACCATTGCTCTTTCGGAATCGCATCCAACCATGAAACAACTTCAGGATTGTTCTCGATAAATTCCTTGTATCTAATGTCGAAATTTATCTTTGAACATGTGTACCCTGCAAAAAACCATGACATATGCATTGGTTAGTGAATTTCATCAACGTTTTCTTCAAATGGTTGAAAATGTGAGTAATTATACCGTACATTACCTAATTTCATCAACGTTTTCTTCAATTCCACATTCCTAAAACGGGTATTGAAGTTGCTTCCGATGTGACGTAGACAAAATACATGATAAGCATATGGAGGCTGCCACCCTCTGTGATCTTTCACCGCCCTTATGATGCTTCGATGACGATCGGATATTAGACAAATACCATGCCTATGTGTGACATGAAAACGTAAAAGGCTAAGAAACCAGGACCAATCATCCAACCTCTCACCTGGAGGAACAACAACAAAGTCAATAGGGATGGGCTCAGAAATTATTTACAGTATGAAGTGGCAAAGAAGGGTCACATGCTTTCACATACTCCAAAGCAAAATTATTTACTCACCTGGAGGAACAACAGCAAAGGCAATAGGGAGCAGAAATCCATCTCCATCCTGAGATGTTGCAATCAATAGAGTACCTCTGTACTTCCCATACAGATGAGTGCCGTCAATTTGAATTATAGGCTTGCAGTGTTTGAATGCTTCAATGCATTGGTGAAATGTCCAAAAAACCCTTTGAAATACGGCCCTGTCTGTATAAACCCGACGTTCATCAAAACATTGATTTGTATCAAGCTTGAACATAGAACCCACATTCACCTCCATCATATACTTCAGCCAATTTGGCAAGAATCCGTACGATTTCTCCCAGTCACCAAACAACTTAACGATGGCCTTCATTTTTGCCTTCCAGGCCTTCCTGTACGTTATGTTGTATCCATATGTTCCCTGTATCCTCTCATGTATCAGAGCTGGTCTTGTGGATGGATCTTCCTTTAACATATCTGGAAAAAAAAATAACTTTACCATATTCCCAATTAATCTGAATCATTAAATACACAGTAGAATACATACTCATTATAGCCGCACAAATGACATTTGAATCCAACTGTCTATGATCCTGTGCTAGGCCTTGATTTAGGCATGTGTGACCTTGACCCCATTTACGGACCACCCAATTAGCTCCCTTCTTCGGCTTAATTGCCCTCATATACCAGGGACAACCGTCAGCATGGTTTTTACACTTCATAACAAATCTTGACTCGTCGCTTTTTTCAACTATGGTTGTCCTGCGCCCCTTCATACAATGTATCTTCACAACATGTTGCAATTCTGGTTTGGACCCAAATTCTTGTTGCACAAATAACGGATCTCCTAACTTCCAACCTCCGTGCAAGTCATCATCGCCATATAGGATCTCCAACTCGTCATTAGGGTGCGCCAGTTAATGAATGAATAATGTTGGCTTTCATTCCAAAATGGCTCCTCAGACCCTGCATCTAAAGATCAACTCTCATTTGTCTGAATGAATACCACCACAAATAATAAATTGTCTAAAGCAAATGTTCAAATTTAATAACTTACCACTACTGACTGGGTCGACATGAAGTGGTGACAAGGCTGGGGTACCGAGACTTACGGCGCTCATGTCAGCCTCAAAATTACCGTCCACGTCAGTGTCTGACGAATCACCTTCTGGAATAGCACTTTCAGGTTCTCCCTCATCTTCGCTGTCCACATAGTCCTCGTCTTCATCCTCTTCATCCTCATCCAATGCTACCTGAGGAGGTGCAGAAGATCGTTCAACTGTATCTTCTTGACCGGTACAGTGTGCAGTAGTGGTTGTATGCACCGGTAAAGATGAAGATTGTCCAACATCAACTTCAACATATATCTCAATATATTTTAATACTTTCCATTCAACAAACGCATCTGTTACGAACTCCACATCTTCATCATCATTTATATCGTTTCCAATGTAGTATATTGTATCCATATCCACTACAGTCTCTAACCTGGCTATCATGCGGTGGATGGAATGTATGCCTTCTGACCCCATTTTTTGAAGAATTCTCTCCTTCAGTTCATTGCATGTAGTGCCCACTTTGATTTTCATCGTTTTTGTTTTTCCTTCAAATCGGACACCGTTCGGACCTTCAAAATGCCTCCCATTGTAGTAAATAACTATAGGAACCATGTTTGGACTTGAACTCATCTTTCACACAAAAATTAGATCTAGGTTTTGGGTTTGGAGGTTGGTTCGGATTTTTGAGCACAAAATGGGAGTGTGGAGATGTAATCTCAATGTCCCACCAAGATTCAGCTTTCTGAAATGATGAGATGAAATATGTGTGATGTTTCGGATTAGATAGGGTAAGAGAGAGAGAGATTTGGGGTTTCAAAAACCCTATACCTCGCAACAATGGCCGAAACCCATACATATTGGGGTTTCTGGATGCGATTTACCCGGGTACACTGATCCATACCCGGGTAAATAATTCAACCATTTTCCCAGATTCAAGAACTCTACCCGGGTACACTCCTACATACTCGAGTAGATAAAAAACTTTCAAAAATTACCCGGGTAGGTAATGGTGTACCCGGGTAGGCTTCGTGGTCAACGGTCAAACAGGGGCAGATTAGTGTTATGTTTGTTGGGGAGGGTAAATTTTCGAAATAGTTTTGAATGAAGGGCAATTTGGTGATTAATTATTAATTAAGGGTCATAAGGGTCAAAAAGCCCCCTAACGAGTGTCTTGAATTTTTTTTTTTTATAAAACGATGGAAATTATATACAAAACTTAATATAAACTACTCTAACTTTTCACCACTATAAATATCCTAGTGACTTAGGAGGATATATTTGATTAGGATTTTAAAATATTTTTTTTGAAATAAAAATTCTTATAGATTTAAAAGACTATTTAGAATTTAAAAAATTTCATAGACTTTTTTAAAATCAAGATTTGATTGGATTTCGAAAGATTTTAATAAAATTTATAAAATTTGAAAGGACAATATGGATTTATAAAATTTTAAAAAATTATATAAATTTTTAACAAATATTCAAACTTACAAGAGTCAATGAAAAATAACAAAGAAATTCAATGATATTAATAAAAAAAGTAAAACCTAATATAATTTTCTCAATCGGTAAAATATAATATAATTTTTAAGAAACATTCAAAATTACTAAGCAACAACTCTCCGCATATCTAAAGCTATACTAATCCTCCATGCATTAACATTTTTTTCGTTCCTGCTCTTGAGTTTGACCCATAGGTTGAAAATTATCTTCTTCATTTGATATCAGAGCTATGCCTATGTGATTATAAGACCCAATTTTTTTATTTATTAAAATAATTTTAAATTTGCATATAAAACCTAAAGTTCATGATAAATTTTTGTTTTGAAAATTTTTGCCATTGATTTTGAAAACCTTGGGATTTTTGTTCTACGTGATAAGAGTTTTCTAACCATATACCATATGCATGTTTTTATTGAGTACTCTAAAAAAATTATCAATCTTAATTTCTGAGTTTTATTACATGAAAGTTTTAAAAAAAATTTAAATTATTTTTAATCGATACATTGAAACTTTAAATTTGCTTTGGGGCTTTTGAAAAATAAGTCTTTAGTTATCTATTGACCGTCAATAAAAAAATTTACTTGATATAGATATAATTTTTATTTTGAAATATTTTGAAAGTTATTTATGTATTTTGACATGGGAAGAATCTTTTGACTTTGGTGGAAGAATAAAAAATTATATTCTTCATCTCAATCATTGATTTCTATGCGATGTTTGTAATTTATTAAGAATTAATAAGTAATTAATGGATAGAAAACAATAAAGTTTAATTATCAAATACATGCAAAAATAATCAATCATTAATAAGTTATATGTTTAGAATAACTTACGATTAGCTAAACTCTTAAAAAACAATCAAATCTAATCATGCATATTGTAATGCTAACAACACCTTATTAAAAAAAAGGTATATATGTAATCAAATCTGACTGTCATATTTTTCATTACCTTGATTACACTAATTACTAGAACTGAGAGAAAAAATAGAAAAGAAAAATATATAAGGAATAAGAAGGATGAGAGAGGTTTGACTGATAAAAAATCATAGATCAGGAAAAATCTATTTACATTTTAACCATAAAACCATAAAATTGTAAGTTAAAATTAAGAATTAGGGGATTACAATCAGGAAAGTTTAGCACTATTACTATTAAATTAATCACTGTTATATTAATTTTAAAAGTAATTGCTCATAATCACTTCCTATAATCCTAATTTTTTTTCATGCTCTCTCATTTTCTCTCTCTAGGGCTAACTGCACACATCCACGATCACTTCTGTTTCCAAATTCCTCTATTCATAGTTTTTTCCTTTTTGGTTCCTCTCATCGTCGATTTTTTTTTTTTTATAATTTCCTTTGTCAACATCATCGTCCCTTACAGAACCATTATGACCTTAAGCACAAGAGGAAAGGTTTCCTTATCAGCTCATCGCCCCCGCCCTCCTCCTGGTTTTCCCGATGGAGGTTCTGCAAGGAGAAGAAGGTGTGGACAAAGGCCAAAAGCCAGAGATCACATTAAAATCTAAAATATATTATTGTATTAACTTTCTCTTAAATATCTATTTTTCAAAAAAAAAAATGTGAACTAAACCAAACTCAGATTTTTTCTTTTAAAAAAGGAAATATATTTGTCCTTTTAAATCACGTAATTTGTGTTCATTCACTTTTATAAAGAAATTAGATTCACATCTTTATTTTCTTTTATCCACTCTCTTTCTTAATCTATTTCTTTCTCTCACTTAAAATACACAATTTTTTTTTTTTGATAACATAAAATACACAACTTTACATCCTTGAAATAATACATATTTTTTCGCTTTAAAAAAATAAAAATCTTAAATCTTGTATAACTTATGAGATCTATTTATCTGATGTTATAATATGAGATAATTATTTGCCTTGGATTATATCTTTGGTTGGATTTATTATTTAATATTTATATAGTTTAAGTTTAAAAAATCATGATAAAACACCTAAACTTGAAGAGTCGATATTATGGCGTGGACGCCGTCCACGTGGTGACGTACGAACCGGGTTGCATACGCGTATAAAGAACCGGGTCCGGTTCAAGATGCGAGAAAGCGTGTATAAGAGAAAGAGATCAATTGGTGAAGTTATCAGAGGTTTCTGGAAGGAAGGAGCTAGCGGCAAGCCCTACCCCCAACCGTAACCCTAACCCTAACCCTAACCTTGACGCTTCTCTTCTCTTCTCGTTCATCTTCCTCTTCTTCTTCCTTCACAGGTACTGCCTCATTTCTTCTTCAATTTCTTTCTTTCTTTCTTGTTTGCAATTCGTCGGTTATGATTTTTTGTTTTTCAAATTATAAATTGTCCGGAGAATTTATGGCTTTTGATTTGATGCAGATTCAATCTCTGTTAATTATTATTTGATTTGGGGTAGATTGCTGCTTAAGGGTTTTGCCTCTTTCACATATAAGGTAAGAAAGGAAGGAGAGGGTATCCTGGGAAATCTATCTGTCTTTGAATTCTTGATCTTCTTAATTAAATCCTTGATTTATTTGCTATATTTTACTCTTAAGCATCTCATATGTAATATTCCCAACGTCGGTTATGATTTTGTTAATGCCACTGAATTTGACATTTATACAACATCCATGATCATGCTGTGTTTCTGGTTTCTTGTGAGTTATTACCGGACAAGGAACAAATATTGATCACTGGTCATAATGTTTCATCGAGTTTAGTTCTACGAAAGGATTTTGTTTTTCTATTTTAGTCTTGTTAGAAATTACTGTGAGAGAGAGTGATGTTTCTGCAGTTAATGCAGATAAGTTATCTGCATTTATTCTCAAAATGACGTCGTTTTGGTATTGAAATCTTAAAAAATTATAAATATAAAGACTATTATAACCCTGAAATAAATTAAAATTACAAAAACACCATGATTTCTGTCCCAAAACGACGTCGTATTTGGACTTACTGCAGATACTTATCTGCAGTAACTGCAGAAAAATTGAACCCTTTAACTAAAATGATTGTCTTTTAAAAATGTAAGGTTTTTGCTTATATCTTCCCAGTTTTAAAAAATGGGGAAGGGAATAAGGGATATTTGTAAAAACCTTCGATATCTTTCTCACCCTTAAAATTACTTATGTGCCCTTATTCTCTTTCTCAATTTTTTTTATTTTCTCTCTTTCTTAAAATTATTTGAATTTATTTGATGAAATTATTTTGTTGTTGTTTCCAATTACATTGTTTTGAGATAAGTGATTTACTTTTATATATGTAATCCATATTTTTTTAATAATTTTAACTTAGTTAGAATGTGAAACAGACCATTTTAGATAGAGAGAAAATAATTTTTTGAATGGAGAATCATTTTTTAAATGTGAATATTTCATAAATAATTTTTTTAGAAATTTTAAATTTAATTTAATTTATAAAATATAATAATTATAATAGTTTTTTAAGAAAGATAAAATTGTAAAGACATCTCATTAACTCTCCAATTTTCTCCCTTATTATATTTTTAGCTCCCATACAAAGGCAACTTAAATACCCTTCATTTTTCCTTCCTTCCTTCTCCACCCTCCCTCTCGGATCCCCTTTCTTCCCTTGCCAAACTCCCTAACACATCCTAAAAGGACAAACATTTTTCCCCCTTTTTCTTATTGGAACTTTCTGTAGTATGAGGTTCATTTTACCTTATACCTAGACTGATCTATGCATTCAATTTAAGTGTTGAAGTCCTTCAGGATTTTTCTTGCTTTCTGTCAGTGAGCCGCGGGTAGATGATGTTTGTCTATCAAGGAGCGTCCATGTCTCAGTTTTCTTTTGCCTTATAAAAAAGATATATTGTTATGTTGCTGAATGCTTTTTGATTTTGATTCTTCTAATGGTTTGGTGGTAATGCTTGGGAACTTGCATTTGCACTTTGTCTACTTATTTAAGGATATATCTTCTTCCAATATCCTGTTTTAGGCTTTTAGCAATTGAAAATGGTGGTATCTTCTTTTTTATGAGGAGAAGCATAGGGAGTGAGATCAATTTTTCTTTGACTATTTTTGCTACTACGTCTACTTGTCATGGAATCTACAAAATATTGATGGAAAATGTATGCTTATTTTGTGAGATGGTGTTATTATGGTTTTCACTGCAAGTAGAAACTATATTTTTGTGGTTTTGCAGTTCATTTTTAATGTGACTGGAAGAAGACTAAGTTGACAATGTTAGAATATAAGGTCTTTACTGTTTTTAGGAGTCTTATTTTGTTAGTAGTGTTATTGGGGTGGGCTTGTATTAGGTTACTAGCTGTACTACACTAGTACTTAACCTACATTTGTAGTATAAAAAATAGGGACCTGCAGGGTAGACACATACCATGTGATGGCAACACATGTGCCCATCGGTTTGCCAGGTTTGCATAAAAAACTGGAAGGAAGCTATGAATTCCAGGAACCACCGGTTGAATTTAGAAATTCACTTGTGGAGGATAATAGGTGAGCCATAGTTGGCTTTAAAAAGGACCGAGTGTTTTTTGTTTTCCTGGGCACTACCTTATGCACCAAAAGTAAAAAATAGGAGTGTTAGTGATTTGTGTCATACACACCTCATATCAAACTATTATCAATTATTTAGACTCTATCTCCTCTCTCCTTTTTCCAACATGTCTTTTTAATGTCAACCTTCGTCCCCATCTGCACTGTAGTAGATGAGCAATGCCTGTCTATTGAGTGCAGACTTTATTTTGGTAATAAATGTATCCTGAATATGCAATGGCCTTTTTTTGTAGTAATATGCCCTGAACCCTTCTGTCCCCACTTGATTTTAAAACAACTCATATGACTGGCTGTGTAGATGACTGAAGGGTCATATATTTAATGCTTTTTAGATTAATCAGCTGAAGAGGGGGAAAGGACACAATATGTTATTTTTCTGTGAACCTTTCTTGCTATTATTGTTTCCGTCTTGGTAGCAAGGGTTAAATATATTTGCATAGATAACATGGAAAAAGTGCAAAATATTGTATTTTTAGTTGAGTGTCTACTCCTTTGAAAGACTCAATATAATGACTTGATTTGATTGTAGAACTAACTTTGTTTTTTCTCTTCTGTGAGATGCACTTCCGGTCATCATTTTACCAAAATGCAGTTTTTGAGTTGGTTATTAAATATAAATGGATGCCAAGCGATTCATCCAGCTGGTTGAGGAGAAGAAGAAGAAAATTATGGAGAGAAAGGAAGCACCTTTAAAGTGGGAGCAGAAGCTTGAAGCTGCTGCTGAAGCTAAAGAGAGGAAGTTGAAGGCTGCAAAGCATAAAAAAAGATCAGGCTCTGATAATGACAGTGATTATGACACTGATGACGAGAGTAAAAAGACAAGTAAAAGATCTCATAGGAAGCACAGGAAACATTGCCACTTTGACTCTGGTGACCATGAGAAAAGGAAAGAAAAAAGTACCAAGCGAAAGACAAAGAAATGGTCCTCAGAGTCTGGTGATTTTAGTAGTGATGAATCTGAGAATAGCTCTGAGGAGGAGAGGAGAAGAAAGAAGAAGCAAAGCAAGAAACTAAGAGAACGAGGTTCAAGATCAGATTCCAGTGATTCTGATTCTTGTGCTGTTGAAGCAAGCAAGAGGAAAAGGCAGCACAAACGGCAGCGCCCATCCAAATTTAGTGGATCAGACTTCTCTAGCGATGAAGGAGATAGTCCTGTTCGGAAGAGAACTCATGGAAAACATCACAAACGCCACCGACAAATTGAATCTAATGAATCTGACTTGTCAAGTGATGAAAGTGATGATGTTCACCGTAAGAAAAGCCACAGAAGGCACCATAAACATAACCGGCGATCACATAATGTGGAGCTGAGGTCATCCGATTCTGATTATCACAGTAATGGCCGAAGAAGCAGATCATTAGGGAAGTCCTCGGATGAAAATTCCGAAGAGGAAAACAAAAGATCAATGCATAAAAAGTCTGGTCACCATCACCATCATCGGCACCATCAATATCATCGTCACAACAAACATAGACACCACTTGGATGAGGAGAAAAATTACTCACTCCAGCACTCACCAAAAATCAATGGAAAGCATGAGGAGGGATTAGACAAAACTGAAACGGAGAAAAGGGATGGCTGTCATCATGAAAGCAGAGCTATGTCTGAGAATAATGATGATCAAATTGTTTGATTTTGAGTCTGTTCTGTTATCAGTTTTTCATTGTTCTTTACTGAAATTGCCAGTGACTATCCGGTATTCAAGTTGTTGGAACAATTTCATTATTTATGTCTGATTTAATATTGTTGTCAGCAGTACTATTGACCATGGAAACTTTGCTTGGGTTATTGTTAGGTAATGGCATTAATCTGAACCTTCATCAGCTATTATATGCAAATGCATTTGAAAGTTATAAAATTTCCTTGAAAGGGCTGGTGTGAGATTCTCTTTTGTCTGGTTTTGCTACTTGTACGAAGAGGCGTTTAAGCGCTGTACAGTTACTCCTGTGTAGTTTGTGTCAGATTCATTAACAGCAGTATCTATGGTATCGAAAGGATGGGTGGATGCTCTCCTTGCGCAATCATTGTTAGGGCCATTCATGAGCTTCTAACTAATTCCTGGGAGGTGCGTATTACCGGTGCCATGAGGAAAGTTAACTGAATTACTTCTTAACCAAAATGAATCGTTATTTTTCAATAGGTTACATTTGCTTGAAAGATTTTTAGATGGGTGTTGGCAGTTTTTGTTAGATGAATTTTTGCAGGATTTCTGCTTTGTGCAGTACGTTTTAGTTTTTTTTGTTATATTTAATTTATTTTTTCTGACCATATTGGATCAAAATTTTCACCAGTTTTATAATTATTGATTTGATTTTAATTTAACAATAAAAAAATTAAAAATTAACAAAAATAAGTTGTAAATATAATTTTTTCTAATAATAAAGATATTTGAATCTCATTAAACACTGAAGCCATACGACCATCAATTCTTAAAATCTTATTCTAAAAAAACATCAAATCACTAGGTGTCATACAGCAATGACAAATCTCCGCTAAATGAATTGGAATTTTGATTCATTTGTTAAAAGAAATCATTAGTCGGACCTCAATTTTTTTTTTTATATTTGGTTCATCAATTTATCAACTGGTTAAAAAATGTAATTATTTTGAATGGATTTATTGATTATCCAACTTAATTTGGCTTGAGCTCGGATAATTCTCCATGATCTATTTTGTCCAAGTCAAAATTACTGTTTAATGAATACAAATTCCTTATTACTCTAATTAATAATTGTTGGGAAATATAATTATTTTATTAAAATTATTTTATATTTAAAGGGAAAAATATTTATTATTTTAAGAGCAGATCATTTTATATTTAAAATGACATAACTTTATATCAATTTAGATAAAACGACGTTATTTTGATCCATAATTGGTGATTTTTTTATCTTTTCTCTCTTCTACTTCCTCTCTTTTTAATTTTACGGAGGAGAGAGAATGTAAAAAGTAACTTTATTTCATCTAAAATGACACAAAATTGTGTCATTTAACATAACAAATATTTTTTTTTCTTATTTTATAGGATATAACTTTATGTTGTAAATCTCTTTTTCTCGTAAAATTAGGAGGAGAGAGAAAGAGAGAATATTATAAAATGAGAATATATAAAATCAACAAAAATGTACTAAAATAATTAAAATGATACAAAATTATATTAAAATAATGATAAACACTTTTTCAATATTTAAATCATAAGATTGAAAATTAAATCACATGCTTAAATTACTCGAAACAATTACCTGTATGTAAAATTATAATAATAACAGTCATTATAATGTTCAAATTTAATATGTTAACACTGGATTTTATTTTGTCTCGTTAAATTATTTTTTCTGTAAGACATCCAAAACGAAAGTAGATTAGTGTTTCTAATATTGTAAGAGATAATTTTATCAACATAAAAATATGTGAAATCCATATATATTTTTTGTCTCAAAACTTTATATGACTTTACATAAGCCTTTTACATTTTTATGTGTGTATATAAAAAATAATTTTATCTCCAACTTGATAAACATTAATCCCATATTCAAATTAAAATCTGATTCAGCTTAAAAAAACTTAATTAATACAAGGCCTGATATTAATGATTGAAAGTTGATATCAAAATAATAAATAATCTTGATTTCTTAGTGAATTAATCTTGAAACAAGCGTTGCAAGTCAATACATTGCTGAGATAATACTGACATTCCCAGAACAAAAGAAGATTGGCTTTGAAAGAGTAAAGCAGATCAACCCTTCGAAGTTTTTTTTTTTTTTTTAATCCTGGGATTATTTCTGTCTTATATCGGATTATTTCTGTCTTGTATCGGACTACATTCCAAAATTGTTTTTTTATTGTACATTCCATGCTGAGATGCTTGATCCTCAGCAACGGCAATGAACAAATAATTATGGAGTATAATTCTTTCACCAAAATAAATAAAAAATTATCGATATAATTCAAAAATCATACAACATTGCCCAAATTCCATTTTGGTCAGAAATTCTTCAATATCTTCTCAGCTGAAACTCCATCAGCAACAAGAATAGATGTAACTTCCTGCAACAATAACATCAGTATTAAAAGGTCACGCATCGCAACCAGAGCATTGTAGAAAAACATAAACAACAAACAAAGTGTTTCAGTAAACATTGAAAACAAATCTAGCTAAGTTAATTTGAACAATGTGACACATCCCTTTGCCAAGAGGCTTTGAAGCAGCCTCTCTCTGGTAAATAAATAAAAATAAAATAAAAAAATCAATATTTCTTTAAACCTCGATTAATAAGAGTGGGATAAGAAAAATCTTTATACATATGATCTTACCACTGCATAATTGCAAAGAAATTATTTCTAAATATATAAAGGAATAGACTACATAAAATCACTCCATCCTCATCAGTAGGGATTTAAAGGATATTATCTTTTCTTTTTTGGATTTTTTTTTTATTAGACAGACACTGCTCCATAGCCTCATGGCAATGGAGAAGATCAAATTATAAGCCCAAACTATGCGTATTAGCCAACTTCAAGCCTCAATTTCAATCGGGTTTCAAGTTGCTTTGGTACAAATTAAGCTTAATTAACTCCCTTAATGGATAAAAAAAATTGTCAAAATTTCAGCACTTAAGTTCAATGAAGAGGATTAAATTGCTTTTTATTTCTCAGTCAACCTAGGTAGACAAAAGTCTGCATTAATGCCTGATTTATTGATTATTTGCTTAATTTCAGTATTCTTATTTATTTGCTTAATTTAAGCACTTGAAGGTCAATTAATAGTTTATATCTCTATGCATTTTTGCTTTTGTTTCCCCCATAAATAGGAAGGACTTGTAAACCGAAGGAGACGGATTTGATGAATAAAGCTGGAGTGTTTGCAAAGTTCTTTGAAAGACTTGTTTTGAAAATCTTGTTATCTTGGACTGAGTGGTGGCATTGCTTCTATCTTGGATTTCAGGCTTTGAGGGGTGGCCTTTTATCTCAAGCCATATCTCTCTTTGCTTTTCTAGAGATATTCAAGTGTTCTTCATCTTGTTCTTCTTTCAGTGTTTAATTCTCCCATTCTCATTTCTCTCCCCCTCACGCAAGGACATGCAAGCACACACAAACATTAACAGATAATGATATGCAACAATACACTCTTCCATATAGAAAACCAATTCCTAGTTGAGTTTGAGTCCACTTTAATTGTTTAAAGGAACATAGGATTGTGCATGCACGGATGCACCCAAATCCTACCTTGATAAATAAAAATATTTCATCCACTTCTCTCACGCACCTTATTTTCTCATCCATTAGTTGTACAACACCTTAGCCAAGTTTGAAAATAAAAGAAAAGGGGAGGGCAGGGAAAGATAAAATAAAATTAATAGAATGTAATGAACACGATGCATGACTTCTGGAGATTACCATATCCGCGAATTTTGAGTAATTCATTGTGTCAGTTATCTGATTGTTTTAAATTCAGTCGTTATGGCTCTAATTGAAGTCTACATACTAGTTTTCTTTCTTTCTTTCTTTTTTAGATACAACGGTGATACTAAGGTTCAAACTTATAACTTCATGCAAATTACTCAAACTCCTCACCACTAGACCAATTCTAATGATTAAAGAGGTTTGGTTTCCTCAAAACAACCATCACTGTTATCTTTCTCCCACTCTCTATCATAGGTTTCTTCCTATAACTTAACTAAGAAAGTCAGTGGCAAATGACCGAGTTAACAAAAACCTAGAAAATAAATGTCTTTCATAATTATGCAGACAAACAATTAAAGCTGATGTGAATAGTAGCGCACCTCAGTCATCTGTTTCTGCCCACAAAGGACAGCACCAGTTGACAAAGGGTTAGATATTTGTTTCTCTCGTGTAAACGCAGCCTGTGAAGGTAATCATCATGTGAGAAAACAATCTATAACCCGTGAAAGTAATCATGTGAAAATCTAATCCTACATGCCCACACACATTACCTGTACAAAGCCACTTTCTCCAGTCCAACTGTCATCTGGTTGAGACAATACAGGCACAATCTTCACACCAGAAGATTCCCAGTCTTTAAATCTATCCTATAACACAAAAGAACATTGTAATAAGCTCGAATAAAAAGTACAAGGTTTCATATGGTAAAGCCAACAAACAACTGAACTAACCTGATAAGCCATTCTCTGAAGGTTTCTGGCCCCATAATATAATCTCACATCAGACCTCTTGCCAGCACCAAATCCTGACTCAATAAGTGACCGAATTGGACTGCACACAAGTAAGTAAATGGTTCACACAAAATATCACAGATTGTAAAGGGGAAATCTAGGATCAATAGCACATTGCATTATCGTTAACATAACACACACACACACACACACACACACACACACACACACACACACACTAGAAGACAATGCTTTGTTAGACCTATATATCTGCAACATATAATTAGCATATTATTGTCCACCACCAACAGCAACATCAAATGTGAAGTAAAATTTTAAAAAGAAAACATTTTTAACATTAAATGCAAATTGTGGTGAACAGTGGAACTGACCTAATTCCGGATCCAGTGGCAAAGACGAGAACGGTACCGAATTTCTCGGGCGGGTCGATCCGACTGATGTCGAACCCGTTTCCCATGACCTGACTGAGCTCAACCACATCCCCTCTCTTCAACGCGCACAGGGCCTCCGCGGTGGACTCCGCCACGCTCTTCACGAGGAACTCGAACACGCCACGCGCGGAAGCGAGCTTCGGCGGCGACGCTATGGCCAGAAACGACGGCTTAGGTACGTCGGGGACTCGGAGTTGGAGGTACTGGCCGGCGCGAGTGTGGGACGCGGCCAGATCGGGCGCGTCGGACAAGTCGACGGTGACGTGGAAGAGGGACTCAGCGACCGGCTCGACCTCGGAGAGCGGGGCGTTGGTCCAGACGGTGGTGTCCTGGCGTACGGCGGCGGAAACGGTGGCGAATCGGCGGTGGCGGTGGTAGTTGCGAAGGTTTAGGTTGAGGCGGCGTAGGATGGACATGGGAAGTGGTGATGGGCTAAAGTGCGCATGGGGGTGAAGGGTAAAGGAGTGATGTGAGGGTAAAAGAGAGAGAAACATGTTATTTTTTTTGTTTTTGGGTATGGTGAGTTATAAGTGAGGCGTTGGTCAGAGTCGGAAGCGGCGGCGGAAGTGGCGGTTTATGATAAAATGCGCCTTGGGTGCGTATTAGTGAATTGAGGCTTGTCAGAGTTCCACGTGTCAAGCTTTCTTGAGGTCCTATAGAGCTGCAAGATGACTCCAGATGAGTGATGACACACAAGTAGGTACAGAAAACTTACCAGATTCCCTGTACTCTGCAGCATTATATTTTGGCGAAAATATTTTTAAGAATAAGGACCACCCAAAGACTCGTTGTTCTCTTCTCTTTCTTAAAAGCTCAAAAAAAAAAAAAAAAAAAAAAAAAAAAAAAAAAAAAAAAAAAAAAAAAAAAAAAAAAAAAAAAAAAAAAAATAAAAAAAAAAAATTATCTCAATTACTTTTTTCTTCTTAGTTTTACTCCCCTATTTTCACAAATGGATCACTAAAAAAATGGTGCTATAGGAGTATATTAAATGCTCTCATACTTAGGGTAGAGGAAAACAAATTTAGTTAGAGGGAATCACTAAGCCAGCAATATATTGAAAAAAAGAATTTTTTCAGAAATGTTATAAAAAATTATTTATTTAGTCAAAATATTTTCATTTACAAAAAAAAAAAATCAAAATATTTTTAGAAATATTGCCTCAAATTTCTAATTTTATATTTAGTTGATTGTAAATGATTATTAAGAATATAAATTGATTTTATAAAACTAAAAACATTTACAAAACCAAGCCATTGAAGACCAGGTAACAATTCCCATTAATATATGGGCTTAACATTTCTGCAGCTGTCGTAGATAGTGTTATCTACAGCTGACACAAAAAAGTGGACCCCACGGCTTTTAAAAAAAAAACTCAAAATCCGGTGCTGTATCCTAGGATCCGGACGCGGATCCTTGCTGGCTGTAGGTACAGCAGCTGCAGAAATCATTTTGCCTTAATATATATATATATATATATATATATATATATATATATATACTAATTGTAATTAGGATATGCATGACAATCATTCTCTTTCATGGCATATGAAACGTGTAAGAATGTATGAATTTTCAACCTGTCTATTTTTTATATATGGAAAATATATTTCTCATTTGCATAAGATATTTTTGTCTCATATACAGATAAAAAGTGGGTTGGATCCACTTTATTTTTTTTCTCTTTTTTCTTTACTCATTTCCACTTACTTTTATATGTATTGCATGAGACAAAATTGTGTCATGCAATATGAGAAACATAATCTTTTTTATATATGTGTGGGCAATGGCGGAGTCAGAATTGGAGGGGAAGAGGGCGAAAATTAATTTTTTTGTCTTGCATAATATCAGTATTTTTTCTTACCTATTGAGCTTGTAGGAATTCATTTAGGTAATTTCATACCAAAATATAAACATTTAATAACATTTGAAAGATTGAAAAAATGTACTACTGGTCGGTCCAACAGACATAAAAGGTAGTTTAAAGCAATAATTAAAAAAAGAGTGTCTTAACTAAAACAATGCTTTTAACTACATTTTTTAAATAAAATAAAATAAAAGACTACAACCACGTTACTCCAAAAAGTGAATCTTTTAAGTTAATGCAAATTCATTTTCTCTATATGAAACCACTACAAAAGAAAAACACAACCATGCAAATAAAAAGAGAGCAACGTTATAAAAAAAAAAAGAGCAAAAGGGTGACGAAAAGGCCAAAACTTTCATTAACCAAAACATAGCATATGAAACTAAAATAAAATTGCAGAAAAGATTACATATAACACACACACATTAGGTGAAGTGGAGATAGATTTCAACTTGGATATCAATGCATAACTTCCAAAAGAAGCACATTTAACAGTAACAACAGTACTATGTTAAGCCTTAAACTGCATTAATTTTTTTTTCAATTTTTTTTTTTGGGTTGAGGGTGGCGGCCTCCCACCCTAGCCTCCCCTGTCTCCGCCCCTATGTGTGGGGATGGGAAAATGATTATTATATAATTTTTTTTAAGAAGCACCTAAAGATGATACATTTGATTGGTTATATAATTAATAAAGTAAAACATTATCTTCTTTTTACTTTGATAATTATACTTTTATAATTCTTAAAGCAAATGAAAGTGGAAAATTGAAAGCAAATAAAGTATAAACAAAATGATATTTTCATAATTATCAAATAAAATATATAAATTAAAAAGGAAAAAATACAATATTTTTTGTATAAATCATCCGATATATACCATTTTATATTATTATTACCTTTAATTAATAATAAATAATACCATTAAATATAGGGTAAACGTGTTGATAAGAATGCCTACAAAAAAAAAGTATTGAAAAGAAAAAAATATGTTTTTATAAATTAACCTGGCTAAAATAATAATTAAGCATAACAATTTTATTAGAAAAAAGTATTAAACAAAATTAATAACAAGCAGTCAAATTAAAATTATTTTCAACATTTTATGTACACACACTTGAAATTTTTAGTTTTAAAATATAAATTATGAAATATTATTACCTAAATTAATAATCAAACATGATGACTTTTAAATATAAGGTATGAATATAAAATATAGAATTACCTGTGCATAGCAGGCATCATGTAATTAGTTGGTGCGTTTTAATAAGTAATGGATTTTCACTTTTCCATTATTATTTTTTGGGATATTATTTTTTATGTTGTGTGAGATAAATTCATTATATAACACATAAAGAAATAAATTTCTAAAAAAAAAAAAAAAAAAAAAAATTTTTTTATCAACTTTTTATGTATTAAATGAAATAATTTATATATGTAACATAAAAAACAATATTTCCTTATTTTTTACGAGTTTTGGGAAATTGTAGTCTCATGACATTGATTTGACTGGTTATAAAGAGGAATTCTGCATATATTATTCACTTCAGTCAGTTCATTTTTGGAAACCGTCGAACTGAGAGCGAAAGGATTATTTTGGACAACCGAACTTCAATTAAAAACGAAAGGAAGTCTAAGAAAATGTACAATTAACAAGGCAACAAGGCAAGAAGGTAGCATCTCAGCATGCCAGAAAAATAAAAAATTAAATAAATTAAGCTCCTCCCTATATTATTGGACAGCTTAAGCTACACGCATTGGCTGTGCCGTGTGACTGAGTCCCGTCGAATGGGTCGTTGCACCACTAGCCTCTTTAGTTAATTCTCTCTTTTTTCTGGGTCGTTGGTTCCGGCGTTTTTTTGTCTTTAAATGTAGGGAAAAAGAATAATAATATTGTAGGAAAGTTGTTATGTTATAGAGATAAAGATTGTAGTACCCATATTTGTTTTCAATAAACAAAAAAACAAAATAAGTGTGGGTCCCACAATCTCTATCTCTATAACATAACCTAACAACTTTCCTACAACATTATATTTCTATTTTCCTTAAATACCTTAAAAAAAAAACTTAAAATTACACACACACAATATTAGCTAGGCCCTACGGGATGACACAATAAAAAACAAGCTGTTTGGGGGAAGAGATATGGTTTCATCATCAACAACAACGTAATAATTTGGACTTTTGAACCACAAAAATCCTCAACAAAATCATAAATTTTCTTATTTTTATACCTGCACCACCCTCTATAAAAGTTCACAAGTTGAAATATAGAACATGAGAGAAGACTAGGTAGGCTTGCATCATATTAGATACAGCTCAGAGGGAATTAGTGGAAAGAATGAAGTTGTTTTGGTTTATTGTACGCTTATGCTGTTTGGTTCTCCTCTTCCTCCATACCACTCGGGTCAGGTATATATGATATATGTGTGTATTAAGTAACTAACTGCATATATAACTAAGGGTTTACATCTATCATGTTACATGACATTAAAAAATTTTCTACATACATAATATTTTGTGAGGTCCACACTTTTTAAAGAAAAAAAAAACTAAGGCACGCAAAACGAATTTCTATAAACTTACAGAGTCACTTTTCCTACAAATATCTGTTATAAAACCCTATATCTAAACATGTTCTAGAATGGTATGCATGTTTCGCTTATGAAAGTTTAGAATGTTTATTTATGTTAACAATGGCAACCAGATAACAAATGTATTAATATTGTGTTGACAGAGCAATCGAAGGACGCTGGGGAGATCAACAGCCACCCGACCCCCATCCATCACCTCAAGGATATTCCCCTGGACGTCCATAATCCACAATTGCGTTCTGCATCTGTTTATATATATATATATATATATATGATTTAAAGTTTTTAAAGTTAATTTTTAGATAATGGTCATCAAAATATACATAAAAAAAGAGTGTGGAGTCCATGTGGACTAATATGAAGAGAAAAGAAAAGAAAAAACATGGATCTCACACATATTTTTGTGTATATTTTAGTGAACATTAGATTACGTTATCTGAAATAACTTTAAAAATTAAATAAAAAGGAGGGGAAAAATGTCCATCAATTAAATAAAGGATGTTAGTTTTACTTTTACTTGATGTCATAATCAAAGCTGATATGTACTTTCAATTTGGGAAATATTTTTTGTGGTCCAGTACCACTGAATATCTTAAATATCTGGTGCTCTTTCTCACAACATCAATTTTTTCTTTCTCTTTTTTTTTCTTGTTATTTTTTCTCTTTTTTCACTTTTACCCTTCCATTTACACTAAGAGATTACCTAAAAAATGATGGTGCGGACCACGATAAATAATCACTTCACTCTGATATAACCATCTTCTCAAGGGGGATATTGGTATGGTGCAAGTTATTTTTTAGCATTGTTTGTACGAAGGAAACCAATGCGTGAATTGATTTATAGGCAAAATATTATTCAAATCATCTCAAGTCTTCAGATCAAGGATGTTCCTCTGCTAAAGATAATTATATGCTGTTATACGTGTTGCCAATTGGCTGCTGGATTGGTAGCAATGTGTAAGGTTGTATGTAGTTATCGCAGAAAAGTTCCAAAGGCTTCTTGTGAGTGACACCAAGAGAGAGAAGAAAAGTTTTAACCATACTAACTGAGCAGTTGTAGTAGCTATGGCCTTGAAGTTCGTGCCTTGTTTCTTGGTTTTCCAAGATATTGGAGATTGGCACCATACTCACACGTGTGTGTTGTTTTGCTTGCTTAAAGCTCGTCCCACGTAACTCGCAGCCGTGTGTAATATTCTCTCATTGTGCCTCCTTGTTGTTTGATGGTGGATAGACTTGCCTTCAGTTGATATATCCATGATATATTTTTCACGAGTATCTTTCCTTCAGTTCATCCCACAACTTTTTGCTTCATCAAAATACTTAACAAACGGTTGGAGTTGAGGCTTGATTGTGTTGTGTATCCATCCTGTAATCATAGAGTTGCACATAACCCACGCATGGCTTTCATCAAATTCTTCCTCATGCGGCTTTGTGATTGTATCATCAACAAAACCAAGCTTATTCTTGGCCCATAATTTTTTCATGGCCTTTGCCCAATTGTCGTAATCGGCCTCTCTCTTCAACTTCACGGTTGTCAATAACAAACCCAGGACTATCTGACGCAGTCATATAAAAGGGAGACCTGTGGTCTGTGACCTTAAGCCTTTGATTACCTTCACGTGCCATTGCTGCTATCAACTAGGTTAGCCTGCACACTGTATGCTGCCAAGATAATTCAAAGTTATGCTGAAGTGTTTGCGGATCGCTTTGATACCATAATAAGTTTGGTATCGAACCATTTTATTTAATTAGGAAAGGCTTCTTAATAGACGATGATACTTGGCAATTTGAATTTGAATACAATTATATTTTAGTTACAAATGGGCTATTTAATCCTATCACTACAAGAAAAATGATATTTAACGACACCTATTTAACCACATTTAAGGAAAATGTGGAACAACTTTATAAATTTTTTTATTTTACTACATTGCTAATAAGAATGTGGCAAAATAAGGCCCAATCCATCAATGCGCAAATGTCATAATCTCATACAAAAATATGGCCCGATCCATTTATTTCTCAAATGCTACTATCAGTATTCACTCTCTCATCTTTCTTAAGTGCCCTATCATTCTCTTTTTCTCTACCTCTAGCACCAATGTCAACCACAAGAAAGAGGAAAAGGAGATCTCTCCGGCGAGGACGAGGAGCTCATGTCACTCCAATCTTGAAGCTCTGAGGAGGCCATCGTCTCCACTGGTGACGAGGATGAAGAGATGCACTTTTTCTTTGGCAATTCTGTTGGCTAAAATATGAGGTTATTGTTTGATTTGTTTGTAGCATATCATCCATATAAGTTCGACAAAGAAAGAAACCAGTGGAAGAAATGAGGTGCGGTGCGGTGAAGTTCATGGAGCTCCATGGTAGGGTTTTAGTTGTGTTCCAATAATAAATTAGGGATTTTAATTTTATAGCTATAATTGTGGTTTTCTGTTCATCTATGTCGTGTAATTGTCTGATAAATTGTTAGTGTACTTATTTTGAGTGTTTTGACTTACAAGGTGTAGAGCTGTTTAATTTTTAGATTCCTAAATGAGCCGTCCTTAAATCCCAATTACTTTAATTCCCATCACTATTTACATAGTATAATAATGGAACAGCTTCTTTCGATTTTATTTTTATTCTTTTTTATTTTTGGAATTATCTCTATTTCAGGTTTTCAACATGAATTTACATAGTTTGGCTTATTTGATTTTCACACCCTTAAATTTAACAACACAGAGCAGGTTGACAACTATTGTTGAGATATATAGTCCCACATTGATTAGATGGGCAACTAATATGGCCTTTATAAGGCCTTGGGCACTCCCACTCCTTGAGCTAGCTTTTGGGGTGGTGACCTCAAGATTCTTAACAAAGAGCCTCACCGTCCCCCGCTTTAAAAAGTAGAATTAAAATAAATAAAAAATTCCACGCTTCTAGCCTAAAAGGCTCTTGCGTGAGGGGGCGTGTTGAGATATATAGTCCCACATTGATTAGATGGGCAACTAATATGGCCTTTATAAGGCCTTGGGCACTCCCACTCCTTGAGCTAGCTTTTGGGGTGGTGTATCTCAAGGTTCTTTACAACTATTCCACATATGCTTAACTTTTTTTTGTGCAGTATATGTGGTGAAGATTGATTAGACAGTGTTTCATACTTTCATGTGTATTAGTGGTTAGCAGTGTCAATACTTTCGATTGAAGTTTGTCAGAATATCTAGAGGATATCTCATGATTATAGGTATTTTTGTCAATTATTATTCTTTCTTTATATATTTCTATAAAGTAACCATGTAAAAGTTTGTTAGTTGAGTTATATATATATATATATATATATATATATATATATATATATATTGGAGGTATTTTTGTTGTAAGACTTGAGAATCTCCAGCTATGTAGCTAGCGTGATATATATGATATTTTCATCTATAAATGTAATTTAGAGGTGTTTAGCTTAATGAATCCACAAGTTCTGAAGCTTTTAAATAAACAAACTAATGTTATTTACCAAGTTATTTGTGAAGCTTGATTTGCGATTTTTGTATGGTAAAAGTTCCACTGAAAATAACAAGGTAACATCAGTCATTACAGATCTCATCCAAGGTATATTTTTGGAACTATATAAATCCCCTGTTTTAAGGTTTAATTTTTTATGAGTAAGCCTCAAACCACTGTTATCTGATTTTCTGAAGCTTAGGAACCTCATAAGCACCTCTTCATATTCCGTAGCAATTGCAAATTCTTGTACACCTCATTTTATAGTTTATTTGAATTTTATCCTCTTAGTTTGCAAGTAATACTGTAGATTATTTGTTTTAATAAAAAACTATTGTAGAATGTGTGTTTCTAAGTATTATTGCCTTTCCACAATTCTTCAAGAGTCCCTAACTTTGTGAGCTTGTGGCCTTCCTCGTAAACTTGAGTGCAACTAAAGTTCTAACGAAACAGAAACAGGTACCCATGGCTATGAGATTGTAAGGCAATATCCTTACTCATATTAAGTATTTAATTTTCTGTGTTTAGCTTAGAGCTTCTTCAGTTAACTTGATTGTTGACTTCTTACATTCTGAAATTGTTATGGTCAGCTATGCATGGGTTATATGAAATTCTTTTCAGTAGTGGCCTTTTTTTATTTAATAAAATTGTAAATTTAATTTGTTCCTATGTAACTCGATAACCCATTGTTATGATGCAGGCTCGTTTCTTCTTTCAACAACTAATATCTGGGTCAGCTATTGCCATGCAATGGTAATTAAACTTTCCCCTTTCTTCACTGTCCAATCTAAATTGTGTTGACCACTATACTCTGCATTGGAATGTAGTATAGGTAAAGTTTCATTCTTCTGAACATTATGTTTGAAGTATCAGTCTTCTGTGTAATATGTCTCTTCATGAAGCAAGCATGTCACCGGGACCTGAAGATGGAAAACACTTTGTTGGATGGAAGCCCAGTGCCTCGTTTGAAGATATGTGATTTTGGGTACTCCAAGGTAAGGGTATCTTTATCTAGCTAGTTCTTCATGGTGTGAGTTCCTTGCTTACCTATTTTAATGGGATATGTTAGGTTGAGTGATATTTACCTTCAATAACTTTATGCTTCTGAGTGTTTTTTTAGTTTCCTTATGTGAGTTGCTTTTGTTCTTCATGACTGTTTATGGTGAATTTGGATAATCTAAATTTTTTAATGAGCTTGTTTGAACTTCTAAAGAGCATTGGCATAGTGGCATTCCCTTACTCTGTTTAAAATTTTGAACTGCTTCTGCTTGTGTCTATGTTCTCATTATAGGTGTAATGGTGCATGAAAATAGGATGGTATTATTACCATACTGTCAAAGCTTTATAACATATGCCTATTGTTTGCACTTGCAGATGGTGCTCTAACAGCTGTTCAAAACTTGGTATTCACTTCTATATGTGGCATTATACACTCAATCATTAGCGGTCAACCTTTGCTGATTTTGGGAGTGGCAGAGCCTACCGTGATCATGTACACCTTTATATTCAATTTTGCAAAAGAAAGACCAGAGTTGGGCCAGAATCTATTTCTGGCATGGACTGGATGGTGAATAAGTTTTTCTTTTGAATTTTTTTTCTTCATTTTTTTTGGAGACCCTGATTTTTTTGTTCTAGTACCTTCCATCATGACGTGACTTAACATTGTCCTGTTTTTTTTATAACTTAAAACTTGATGTCTTGTATAAATTCTTCAATAAAAGAATAAAAAAGCTTACATATCCAAAGGGTTTGGAGTTTGGTTCACGTTTTATTGTACGTGTTTACTATTTTGCACGAGCTATATGTAATATTATTTTCTTTATTGATGTAATTTTATTAAATTTGAAATATTTTTTATTAAAAAAATCATATATTTAGCCACATTCATGATGAATGTGGCTAAAAGTTTTTTTAGACATAAATAGCCACATTTTTTTATTGTGGCAAATTATACAGTTTAACCACATTTATAAAGTGGCTAAATTATAATAAATGTGGCTAAAAAAAGGCTACCACACTCTATCAAAATGTGGCAAAGTGAATAAAATAATGTGGTTAAATTATTGCAACACCACTATTAGCCACATTTAATTAAAATGTGGTAAAGTTAATTTGCCACATTTTTTATCAATGTTTGCCACATTTTTTAATGTGGCTAAATAACACTTTTTTTGTAGTGTATTTACAAACGACTATTCAATCCTAATTACAAGCGTTACATATTTATTTAGTAAATACCAACATATTGACCACAAAGCAAACTCTGAAATGTTATGGAATCTTCAATTTGAATTTAAAAATAGCCTCAGTTGTTTTTAGAGTCTATTAAAGGTTTTCTCTCTCAATGACAGACTTTGTTTAATTATAAATAGAATTCCTTCCTTTTGACTTAAGTTTTATCTTGGAGGGATCCACTTAGAGCTGTCAAAACGGGCCAGCCTGACCCATTTAGCCATAGCCCAAGTGGGTTAGGGTCAAAAAGCCCGCAGGGCCAAAAGCCCACAATGATATAGATCCACACGGGCCAAAACCCTATGGGTTAGGGCCAGCCCGTGGGCCTTCTAAAAAAATAATATGTATTTTTTTAAAAAAATATTTATAATAAAATGGTGCGTAGAAATTATTAGAAAAAATAAAATTAATAGTTTTTAGAAAATTGTCACTTTTTAAAAAAATTATTGCATACAAATTTTTTCGTAAAAAGTTTTGACAAAAAATGTTTCTGTAAAAAAATTGACGAAAAAAAAAATTCGTCACAATTCTTTACAGAGTCAAAATTCCGTAAAAGTTTTTGACGAAAAAATTTCCATCGAAATTTTTGACGAAAAAAGTTTTTGTTGAAATTTTTGACGAAAAAAATTTCCGTCGAAATTTTTGACAAAAAACGTTTTTGTTGAAATTTTTGACACAAAAATTTACGTCAAAATTTTTGACGAAAAAAGTTGTTGTCGAATTTTTTGACGAAAAAAATTTCCGTCAATTTTTTTGACGAAACACATTTCCGTCAAAAAAATTTGACGAAAAATATTTTTGACAAAATTTTCGATAAAAAATATTTATATCAAAATTTAAACGGAACACATTTTTGTTAAAAATTTTCCACGAAAATTATTTCTGTAAAAAACTTTGACGAAAATATTTCTATAAAAAATTTCAACGAAAAAAATATTATGTCAAAAATCTTTACGAAATCTAAATTCTGTCGAAAGTTTCACAGATACATTTCCCTCAAAAAATTTGAAAAAAAATATTTCCGTTGTAATTTTATTGGGTCACATTTTCATCGAAGATTTTTGACGGAAAATATTCCGTCAAATTTTTTGAAGGAATTCATTTTTCCGTCAAAACTTTTGATGAAATTTTTTCGTTGTAAATTGGTTGAATATTGTAGCCCGCGGGCCAGCCCCAACCTAACCTTATAATGAGAGGGCTTTAAAAGGATGAGCTTAAAATGGCCCCATTACATAGAGGGCTAAAATTTTATAGGGCTGGCCCTTAGGTTTGAGCCCTTTTTGACAGCTCAAGACTCATCCACTTTTGCACGAACCTACAATTTTTATACAAAATTAGCTTGTACCTTAATATCCCTTATAATGAGATCCACTCTTATTAGCGAGTGTATATTTGGATTATAGATTGCAAAATTAATTTTAGATGAATTTGTTTTTAATCAAAAGTAGAATTGTAATCAAATGGTTATATTTGAATACATTTATCTAAAAGGTAGATAAAAACTACGGATGTTTCTAACTCAATGTAAAAATTACTTTTCTTCACTTCCACTCAAATCATAGTTTGAGAACAAAATTGCATTTGACACAATTTTAGTCAAACATACTAATTTGAGATTGGAATTTGAACTGTGGTGGATTGAAATCTAGGTTTGTATTTCTCAAAGGGTGTAGTACATCAATATGAAAAATGCTCAAAGAAGTAATCATATGCACTAAAGCTCAAGGAGAGTCAACACAACGTAGAAAGAGTCGCGACAAGGGGGTGGTGTGTAGGTTACGATGGCTCTAAATTTAACATAGTAACAGCTCATAAATGTATTAGAAATTATATTTCTCCCCTATTGGACACGAAGGATTTATATGGAGTAGGGGTGTTCATCAACCTATCCAAACTGATTCAAATCGCGGTCAGTGGCGAAGCCATATGCTGCGTGGGTGTGGCCTCGACCCGGGCTAAATTTTAATAAATTGTATTTATCATGTATAATTATATAATTAATTACAATTTGGCTCAGTTTAAAATTGTAATTTGACCCTGGTTAAAATTTGTAATTTAGCCCTATCAAAAAATTAAAATATATTTGTTGAAAAATTAGGGTAAGTTGTATTAAGTTATGTGTTCTATTTTCATTTATATAAAAAAATTAAAATATATTCAATAAAATTTAAAAATATTTAATAAAATTATAATTCTTTTTTATGCTTCCTGCTCAAGTGTTTTGTATTTAATATAATTTAAATATATTATGATATGAACTAACTAAAATTATGAAAAATAAATACACATATAATTTTTTGGGCCTGGTTCCGCCATTGATCGCGGTGACCGAATCAAAAAACTGAAAATCGAATTAATCGAAAATTGAAAAATCGAAAACCGAAAAAAAACCGTAAAATTTAATTGGATTAAATCAATTTTTGAATTGGTTGGTAAAGATCGATCCAATATTTCCCCAATCTTACCATCTACTTACTTGAGCCTTTCCCCAATCATAGCCCAAAAATCATATAGCAAAATTCTAAATCCAAGTCTCATTAACCCATCATGTTGGAGAAAGTGGGTTGTGCTTGATCTATGTTATGCTTTTTTTTTTGTAAGATACATAATAGATTTTTATTACATCAGTTGTTGTTATACAACAACTCCTCTATAAGATGAAAATTTGGGTTACTTCGTATCTCAAGCAACCATATTATAAATTTTTTGTTAGAGGTAAAAGATGATAATTCAACTTTTTGTTGTATAATGATTCTAGATTGCACAATAATCATTATACAAACATTACAAAGTCGATACATGCAAAAAATATGTTATTTGCACAATAATCATCTTATAAATCTTAGGCTTTTCCAAAAATCGAAAACCAATCCAATTCAAACAGAATAAAATTGGATAGGATCAGATCGGATCAGATTTAAAAAAAAATTCAACCCGAATGGATGATTACATAATTAAACCGAAGGGATTGAATCAGATGATTTTTGCTTCTAAAATTGATTCAATCCGAACTGCGAACACTCCTAATATAAAAGAGTGAATATTTTCTAACGATGAGAGAGAGACAAAAATGTTAATCATTGCCTCCACTATTGCGATGAGACAACGAGTGTACGATGATGAATTGTGTTAAGAGAAAGAGAACCCAAGAAACTTTTTTTTTTTTTGGACTCTACCAGGATTCGAACAAGGACCATTATGGTGTTATCCTTCAACAAGCAACAACTACCGTATTGACCACGAATGATAGTAGAACCCAAGAAACTTTAATACTAACTCACAGGATGTCATCTAGTAAGGCCTTTACTGGACCATCAGACATCTGGCCCATCGTGTTGGGCCTATATAAGCCGGCCAGAACAAATTGAGCCCAGCAGGAAGGAAATCGATGGGCATATTGGTTGGCACAAGAGGCAGCTAGTCTTTTGGGAGAATGGGATTCCCACTGTAATTGAAACACTTTACCCTTATTAGGATGAAGTGTCTTAGTTTGTTTTTATTTGGGCTTTGCCCCCCTATCTATTAAAAATAAAATAAAAAAATCTGGATATGGCTACGTCTCACCCAAACAAGATCTAAGTTAATGGAGATAATCCCAATTTGCGAACCCAATCAAAGTATTGAAATATTACAATATTAGCTTATAACCCCCTGAAGATTAAGGGCCTAACACCCATGCGGAGACAGCCTTTGGATTGCCTGAGAATTTCCTAAGAAGTTAATGGATCACATTATACTAATGGACAATTTCTCAATTTATTTAAGTATAAGTACAAGTATTTCGCACTATTCATCTCAAGAATTTAGTCATTGAATAAAAGTTCATTGGACAAAGTCCTCATAGTTCATAGTTTCGTAAAATACGAAGAGATCACGTGATTAATCAAAGTAATCGTCCACGCCGGTCCCTTGAATAATAATATCTGTCCTGCCAATGCTGCCATCGATAACGTGATCGTCGCCATCCATGTCCTGCATAATAGGTAGAGTCAATCAATCAGTAATAACATAATCTCAACATAATTCTGATTCAAATTAGTTCATCTAATGTAAAAAGGAAAATCTGTCCCAAGGTACAGCCACTAGCACAGTATGCAAGTTATTCATCCTATAGCAGGACAGCTTTAAGGTTTATAAAAAAAAATGGGATTGATTTTGTATATCACATTAAGTGTTGAAGATAATAGATTATGGTAAAATTGAAAAACAAAGTCCAAGAAAAATGATTCTCCAATATACTTTGCTTATCTCTTGAACCACGGTATCTGCCAGGAATTGGAGTCCTGTCACGACTTCTCTTGGCCTCCACATCATAAAGGAGGATGCAAACTGTTCTGGATGGCCCAAGTACTGGAGTGGTCCAATTACTCAGGCCCAACCCTCAGCTGGTCCAGTTACTCAAGCCCAACCCCTAGCCTTGTTCCGCGTCAGCCCTTAGGGCTAATGTAGGCCCTCACGATCTCCAAGACTGTCGCACGTCTAAGAGATACACCAAAATGTCCCACTTCGGGATATTAACCGCTAAAGGCAGTCGCCATAAGCACTGCAAAGGAACCTGCCCCTTTGTTCAATGCTGACATCGCCGGGTGCAGTGGTTGAGTGGCAGCGCTAACCACGCCTAACACTGCCATCATGGGTGTGCACCCCAAGAAGGGTTGACCCCCACCTCACCAACCCGCGTCATCTTTCTTATAAATAGCCCTTAGGGGGCACACTAGGAGATATCTTTTATGTACTGTTGTTATGCCCATTTACTTCCAAGTCATGCTCTTGTTATTTATCTGCCCTTGATATCAGCTTGCTTCCTCTTGGAACTATACCTTCTAGCCTGGTCTTTACCTCAGCTAGTGGTGTAATCCATATAATAACATTACCCTCATAGGTACATAGTGAGCTCACAGAATTGAACGGTACACAAACAACATCATGACAGGTAAGGACATTTGAAACATAACGATAAAAGTTTATAATATAACGTACTGCCGTTTGAAGCATTTCGAATTTCAATAAATCAACTTCAAATTTCCAGAGACTAGACAGTTACAAGGACAATTGACAATTCCTAGTAAGTAGTAAGCCATACTGTAATGTTATTTGCCAGCTAAAAGCTTAAGATTCCAACACCTTCATTTTATTTAAAACACATGTTTACTTTTATTTTATATATATTTCTTAAACTAATAACAGGATAAAATTAACAGTCATGAAGCATATACTTTTATTGCCATATAGGATTATTATGAATAAAAGAAAAAGGAAAAGAAGAAGATATCCGAAAATCATTTGGCTAGAGTAGAATCAGTCTGGAGCTAATAGCGTTAAATATTACCTTTTCCACAGTTGTCAGTCGACCTTCAAAAACAGAGCGGTCCAAATACTTGGTACATCGCTCAGCATCGTGATTACTTTCCATAGTGACAAAACCATATCCACGAGACTTTTTAGAACGAGGATCTGTTACCAGGTGGCACTCGACAACCTGCAAGCGAAAGTTACATAAAAATTTACTAAAAAAAGACTGTTGTTTACAATGTGGTTGGTTTTTCCTTGACATAATGATTTAATCAATATGAAAACATAGAATTGGCTGTAAGATACGAAGCCTAACATGGACTTCTTCAAACACCAGAGAAATATCCCAAGTCCCACTTGTTTTCTTCCCCAAAACACATGATCTGATATGTTAAACAAGTATCAATGCTATGGACAACCAAAAATATCACCACATGATGAGCCAAAGAAAGCGTTTTCAACTTCATGTTTCCAGAAACTAAACTATCATAATTAAATCAGAAGTTCATAGCTTTTTCATCAAAATCTTCACATGATAATCCACCTGTCTAAGGCAATAGTCAAGGCACCATTATGCATCCAAACACAAGCAATAGTAAAGGAGGCCAAGCTAGAAATCGATGTGCCATATGTAAAACACAGTTAACAAGTAGGGTCCTGTCGCTCATAAGAATACTCTTTATATCCATCATTAAGACTTACAAATGAATCCATAGAATAGAAGAAGTCAAAGTCACAATAGGAAGTGTATATTTACACAGACAGATCACATAGGAGCATCAAATAAGCCACATTTTGGTTTGTTGTTGCTTCAAATGAATGGACAGGATAAGTCTAGCTAAAAGCCTAAAACTTGAGTCATTTAACTGAAAGAATGAAAATTACATTTCATCATTCCTTCGTCCAGAAACTACATTTAAAACCAAGATATACAGTCTAGAAATCAAATCGTCTTACATACTATGTATTCAAATATTTAGAAACTATAGTTGCTTAAATCCTTGCATTGAGAAAACTCAAAACGAAACGAGACATTACTCACAAGTCACAACATTAAATCATGATAAATTAAGGGATGTGATGTTCACTACCATAAGTTCAAGAACACGAATTGTACCTTTCCCTCTTTGTTGAAATACTTCTCAAGATCCCTGGAAGTAATCCTTGTGGACAAGCCTGTTACATACAAATTATTTCCGGGATTCCTTGCATCCGCTGAATCTTGACTCCTGGAACAAACTCAACCATCACTAGAAAGAAGATGGTTGCCATTGTTAAGATATCAAATCATAACATAGCTTTTATGTGCGTGCATGCCTAATATATTGTAAGTGATTCAGCAAATCAGAAGTGTATTTCTATGAAGCTCAACCTGGAATGAGTTCTAAACCTTGATCGTGATCTTGATCTTGATCCAACAGAGTCATTTGTTTTTTTTTTTTTAAAAAAATTAAAAACTAGTTTTGAGCTAAAGCTTAAAAAAAACAAATTTTAACTTAAAAGATATTTAAAAGCTCATATATTTCAAGAAAAGTATCTATCTGTCCCTAGCTCTTCATTCAAAAAAAGCACACAATTTAATAAAAAATGATAAAAGCTTAAAAAAAAACTCATTCTAAAAGCTTTCGACTTTTAACTTTTTCTTCGTTGTAAAAATTTTTTTTTTTGTCATTATATGAACTTTTCTTAAAACCTATTTGACTAGCTTATGCTTATAAATGTAGAAGAGAAACTAAAAATAAAAGTATCCAAACACGTATCAAGATTGCAACTGAATGCTATGAGATGCATAATAAAGTAAAAACCAATAAAAGGAAGAAGATTCACATGTCCAGCATTTGTAGCATATTCTTTTCAATTCAACCTCACTGAAAATAATAGGGAAAACTTTAAAAACCCCCTACAAATTTTCTCAAAATTATTTAACCCCCTCCCCTAAATTTTTAATCATTTACCCCCTATTCAAATTTTTTTTATCTCTTACCCCCCTAATTTGATTTTCCATCCAAAATTTTGTTAAATTTTTTAAAAGGTACCAAAATTACTCTTAATAGAAAAAAGAAAAACATAATTTCCTCACAAACATAATTTTTTAAAAGGTACCAATTGTAAAACTTTATGTTTTATCATAGCTAATTCTTGAACCGCAAGGTGATTTAAGGGGACTAAGTGAGAATACCTCCTTGTTACAATTTTTCTTCCAGACAAGACTTGGAACTTGGAAGCCTCACTGTATGTCAATATTAGCATTTGTGGGTGAATTTTGTTTTGAGAATATGAATTATATTATAAGTTTTTCGCTATATCAGTTAAATAGATGGTGTGAGTGGAGAAGTGTTCTGCATATATACCGACCCTGGTCCATATTTTTGTATCTCCCATCTTTGTTCACTGATACATTGGACCTCATGGGTTTTGATAAAAGTAGGCTTGTTAATGAAATAGGTTTTTTTTGCCAAACTCTATGATAGTACTCAACTTTCGCAACATACCTTGCGCGTTTTACAGTAAAAAATCCAAACTTTCTCTGCGGGAATTAAAATATAAAAAACAACATCCTACTTGTTTCGTATATATGAATATTTTAAACGTAAATTTATAATAATTGTTTGCAAGCTTAAAATTAAGCAATCTTCCCTTAAATTAAAAAGACATATTAAACTAGTTACAAAGTAATTTGTGAGGAAATTATGTTTTTCTTTTTTCTATTAAGGGTAATTTTAGTACCTTTTAAAAAATTTAACAAAATTTTGGATGAAAAATCAAATTAGGGGGGTAAGTGATAAAAAAAAATTGAGTAGGGGGGTAAATGATTAAAAATTTCGGGAAGGGAGTTAAGTGATTTTGAGAAAACTTGTAGGGTTTTTTTTGAAGTTTTCCCAAAATAATATAAAGAATGGTTACAGATTATTAATCATGCTAATATCATTTAATAACATATAAACTAAAGTTTAATGTAGCTGCACAGTAAATAGTGGTGTAAATGGACTAGGCCGGCCTATAGGGACCTACGGCCTAGCCTATATTAGGTCATATTTGACTTATTACAAATAGTAAAATAGAATATACTTAAGTTTTTTAAAAAATCTATTTAGAAAATAGACCATAGGCTTTCTTGTACATGTCGGGCCTATAAACCTACAAGCCAGTCTATATCATATTATTTATTTAAAATAATTAAATAAAATTATTATTTTAATAATTTTGAATAATAAAGTATTATTATTTAGTTATTCTTTTAATTGTTTAATGTTTAAGACTTTTATTTTTTAAATATAAGTCACTTATAATTTGAAACCTACGTAGACTAAGAGGCCATAGTAACAAGACTATTTGAGCCAAAGAGTAGCCTAGCCGCCTATTTACACACGTAACGGTAAAGGAACCATAGCTGGACTCGCTAAGACTTGTCTCTCTTAACCTCAATAGAGTAAAATGCAGCAAGAACTTGCTCGACAGGTCCATCCAATTATCGACGGAGTTGGAAGGGAGGGAGCAAAACCACCGTGATGCTGCTTTCTTCAAGGTCAAGAGGAAGATCCGACACGTGAGTGAATCTATGACCCCTTGAAAGAGGGTGGTTCCAACGGGTGTGTCAAAATGAAAGAACATTTGTATTTGGAACAGCTCGAGGTGTTCTTGCGGGTCTCCTTTCCCATCGTATATGTTTATGTCATGTGCTTGCCGTACTTAAGGTGACAGGGAAATTGCAGAAACTGTAACTAAAGAACTCATTAATCTTGAACCGGGAAATTCTGGAAATTATGTGTTGTTGCCAAACATTTATGCAGAAGAAGGGAGATGGGATGAAGTTGAAAAAGTTAAAGAGTATTGATGCGAGGAGGTGGCATCAAGAAAGTCCCAGGGCAGAGTGCAACAGGATAGTCGCAAGAAATAACTTCGTTTCTTGGTCGACCCAAAATGTAAATTAAACAAAGGATTGTGTCATGAAGATTGGAGGATGCCACCAAACTAATTATGAGTATTACGAAAGAAATACCAATCAAGCCAATTCCGGACAGTTCTAACATTTCATGGCTTTGAACAAGAAGGGAACCAATGGTTTGCATATGTCATACTTTATCATGAAGCCTAGCCATATTTACCATATTGATTCGCAGATTTAAATTCTTTTTATTTATATTGTTTTGGTAGACGGTTTAAATTCTTTTTAGATCTATAACTACTCCGAAGAAATAATATAGGAAATACATTGTATAAAAAGATCATTATTATTATCAGTAATAAATAATAATGAGATTATTATAAAGTACCACTTCAACATAAAATTTTAAGGTGTTGGATAATGACCTATTTAATAGTTTATATTATTCGCTAACATTTCCTTTCACGCAAAAATTCTTTAGGCTTAAAGTGTGAAAATTACACAGGCCCAATTTTTCTTATTTTACCTTGTAAGTATTTAATTTCACTTGAAAGTGGGGTCCAATTTTTTATTTATTTTAGCTGTGCTTATTTATTTTCATTTGAAAATGGAAGCGGTGATGATTGAACTCGTGACTTTATAGTCACTGAAGCTCTGATATCGTATAAGAACCACTTCAATCCAAAACCTTAAGGTATTGGATAATGATATTTTGTAATGGTTTATATTATTCTATAATAATTATTTAACTAAGATATTCTTATATATACCCAGACATGAATACGTGGATCGTGAGTCTCCGCTTGTATGCAAGAAGATACTACTTAACTCGAATTTCCAATTAGAATCTAAATACACATTTTCTTCGTTAGCCCACTTCGTCATTTTGGTATTTTGTTCCAACTTGGACTATTAAAGTAAAGGCGCTCCATTGGAAGCAAAGAGCACATCAAATTTGACCAATAAACTTTAGGGAACACGGAAAATTGTAGTCTCATGACATGGATTTGACTGGTTATCTTATCTGCAATGTTCTGCTTCTATTATTCACTTCCGTCAGTTCATTTTTGGAAACCGTCAAACTGATAGCGAAAGGATTATATAGGACAACCAAACTTAATTAAAAACGAAAGAAAGTCTCTAAGATATATAATTAATAAGGCAATAAGGTAGCATCTCAGCATTGCCTAAAATAAATAAAATTAAATTAAGCTCCTCCCTATACATTATTGGATAGCTTAAGCTACGCGCATGGGCTGTGAGTCCCGTGGATTGGGTCGTTGCTCCACTAGCCTCTTTAGTTAATTCTCTCTCTTTTTCTGGGTTGGTTCTTGGCTGTGTGTTATTTTCTTTAATTTTGTCTTTAAATGTATTAAAAAAAGAATAGATTATTCTACGTACATTTTTTTCTGCATACTATTCTCCAACATCATTAGATCAGAATCTAAAGAGGAGAGAAAAAAAAATAAATGTTAATTAAAATTCTAATCTAATGGAATTGGAGAATAATAGGCAAAAGTAGATAGAATAATCTATCCCTTAAAAAAATTATATTTATGACCTCTTTTTTCTTACGATTACTTTTGTTGTCATTAAATCAACAATTCTCATTTAATTTTATTTTGTATTTTTTTATTTGATTTTTATCCAACAAGATAAAAATGACGATGAGAGATTATATAACCCTAAAAAAAAAAAAATTAAAATTACACGCGCACAATATTAGGCTCTACGGGGATGACACAATAAAAAAAAAACATTTAAGTTGTGTGGGGAACAGCGTAAGAATTTGGACTTTTGAACCAGAAAATCCTCAACAAAATCCTAAGTTTTATTATTTTTACCTGTTCACACTGCACCACCCTCTATAAAAGTTCACAAGTTGAAATATCAAACATGAGAGAAGACTAGGTAGACTTCACTTGCATCATATTAGATATACAGCTCAGAGGGAATTAATGGAAAGAATGAAGTTGTTTTGGTTTATTGTACGCTTATGCTGTTTGGTTCTCCTCTTCCTCCATACCAATCGGGTCAGGTATATATGTGTATATTATTAAACATATTCTAGAATGGTATTCATGTTTCTCTTATGAAAGTTTAGAATGTGTAATTGTTAGTTTATGGTAACAATGGCAACCAGATAACAAATGTATTAATATTGTGTTGACAGTGCAATCAAAGAATCCAGAGGACGCTGGGCAGATCAACCGCCACGCGACCGCCATCCATCACCTCAAGGTGGTTCCCCTGGACGTCCATAATCAACAAAAGGAGGGGGAAAAAAAGACTTTGCACTTATCTGTCTGCTATGCGAAAGAATATCCCATTTTCTTTAATAATATCATAGTCAGGATAGTTTAGCAAAGTCCATCAATTGCATAAAAGGATGTCTGTTTTACTTGATGCCAATCTGAATAATCAAAAAGCTGATATGTACTTTCAGTCTGATATAACCATCTTCTCGAGGGCGTTATTGGTGCAAGTTATTTTGCAGCATTGTTTGTGTGAAGGAGACCAAT